ACCAAGAAACGAAGGGTATCAACAGAAGTAACAGTCCCTGAACCAGTATCCAAAGGCGCAGACAGGGCGCCGCTAAAGAATGTCACGGAAGAGGCGAAGAGTACACCTGAATCATCAACGAACAAGCCTACCGCCGAGCCAGTCAAGAAGGGATCAATCTTGAACTTTTTCAAGCCTGTACCTCCGTCATCCACAGCTACTTCGAGTCCGAAGAGCGACGAGCCTCAACCCGAATCGACACCCCCATCCTCACCACCACAGCCGCCAAGGATAGAATCCCGAAAGAAACCACGCTTATTACGCTTCCGCGGTGCATCAACACCATTACTAGACGACGACAACACAGGAGAGGAGACACAAGGCGAGGACACGGAAGCCGAAGACTCTGGCACCAAATCCGCTCGACCAACTGCTCGAGAGAGCTCTTTAACCCGAGAACAGAGCACAAATGATTCAAAGCCTGGAAAGAGAGGGAAGATGAAAACACCGACTGTACAAACGACGCTGAATTTATCGTCGCAAGCTGCGTTTTCGGAATGCAAAGTGTGTAATACTGTGTGGAATCCGCTCTATCCGGATGATGTGAAATTCCATACGAAGCAGCACGCGGCTGTTTTCAGGGCAAAGAAGAAGGAGAAAGAGAGGGAATTATAGAACTTGATACCCATTTATGAATGACGAATTGCATTGAATCTTGAGTTTGTGCGTTGTGTGACTGTATGCAGGAGACTGTCCCCTAGTGAAAACTGACAATTGAAGTAAAGATATAGAAAAGGGGGTTCTTGCAGTGAACAGACCCGTAGTCAGTAACAAGGATGTAGTAAATGTACCTACCTAGCTAAAAGTATAATCCTGATTGAGAAAGTATAAAGAATATAGTGGTTATTGCAATGGAAACTAAGTTTTTCATCTCCTAACTATGAGAATGTATCTCAAGGAAATATCATTTAACTCTGGCTCCTTTTGGCACGGGCCAGACTAAAGAATACAAAATGTACAAAATGTCGATATCCAAAATAATTCGCCTCATGATACGCCATTAGCCTAGCTCAGTCAATGAGTTAGTACAATACAGTAATGATTGTGCCTGTCTAGCCCATCACAGCCCAAGCAGGCGAAAGTCCAGAAACACATCATACAAGCGGGACTCAAGATCCTATGATAAAGCATATTCTCCCGCAAGCAAGAAATAAAGGAAAGATCATGGATGCTTTGGGGCCACCTCGTCACATATCTTTCTCGTCAGTACTTCTACACTCCGAGTCGCTCTCAATAGCAGCCATCTGAAGGGGCCATATCCTGCCTTCGGGCTCCAATTTCTGGTGTCGATCCGTGAGTTGAAGAGTCAACGGAGGGTTTGCATTCGGCCAAATTGGATGCATCGATGCACTTGTGGTCTGAAGGTCGGGCTGACTCCCTATGAAGTCCCACCGGCTCATATCAACGTCCAAGTCGTTGACTTTGTCCCAGAAGTGCATCGATGCATCCAAGTTGGCCGAATTCAAACCCTCCGTTGACTCTTCAGCGGTAGATGGGGCCAGTGAAGAACCAGGCTGCAATCGTGGCAGTGAGAGTCTTGTACCAGAAGGGGATATTGTTGCTTCTAGATTGCCGACTAGCGCTACCGTATGACGGTGACCCGACTGCTGTTGATATTGGCTCATGGTTCGCGGAGAGGGTCGATGAGGCGATTTGCGCGGCGCTCTGTATTTTGGAGGCTTGCTAGGCAGCTGAGTTCCCGAGCAAAATGCTGTATATAAAATACACAGTTTCTGGGTCTTTGGCTGTTCCGCGTTGTAGTCGCATAAAGGTCCAGCCATATGCTCTTTCATTCCTTTCTTGTCAAACTTGCGCCAGCAACGCAAACAAAGAACAACACCATGGTGTGTAGGGTCCGCAAAGTCTCTATCATTCCATTTAGATAACGAACTGCACTTCTCACAGTTCCTTTTCGCCTTCACAAATGGGTTAGAGCTCTGGCAGCTTGCTAAGTATTTGCGAGCTGAATGCAGCGGATCACGTCCATGAATGAGCCCATGGTGATCGGTTATATGTGTGATGATGTGGGATATTTCGTCTTTGCGGCCGCGACATGCTTGCCACTCGGGTGATGAGAATTTCTCCGGCGCAAGCAGCCAGAAGACACAGGTTTCGCGAGCGCCCTCAAAATCCTCGGGTAGGACTGATCTGCGTGCAATACTACCTGCTGCCTCAGTCCATTGTGTACTTGACGAGCCAGAGTCGCCATGAGAAGGCGGAGACGGAATGTCACGAGTCTGGAGTGGAAACCCATGTTTTTGTGGTGAGAGACTCGTAGCTGGCTGGACCGGGCTGACAGAAGCTAGCGACCTGCGTGAAGTGGAATGCCTATGTCCAGATCTGTTTCGTATTGGTAGTAGGTATCTGCTATTGTCTGTTGAATCACTCTTTTGGTGCTTGGGCAGTTGATCTAAAGCAGAAGAAGTATCTGTGTCAATCCGGGACCAACCGAACTGCTGCCCTGGCGAAGTAGTTGGTCCAGTGTGTCTGCTTCGTGTTTGAGGTCCAGATGAAGCAGATGAACTAGTTGGCCAGTCTTGAGGGGGCAGTGAGTCTGCGGGCCTTTTCTTGTCATGTTTTCCATTGTCGTGGTATCTTGTCTTGCGATCGGGTACAGTTGGGATTTGATAGAAGGATGGCAATGCGCCTCTAGATCTCTGTAGCCGCTCATTGACTGGGACTACAGTGAAAGCGGTCGGAGTGGAAGCACCAGTTGTCTGAACAGAAGACGGCTCTTTTTGGGCACCCAATGCACTCTGGTGTCCGTGTTCAGTAAGTGAATGAGAGGTGACGAAGTTGTTTTGGGATGGCTGGGGCCACTGTTGGACCTCGATGTTGGACTCAGGAAGCCAACAACCCTGTGGCTCCGAGGCACCAAGGTTTTTGATCGACGTTACGCCGTAGTTCGTTAAGCCAGTGTATAATTCTCTACTGAGCTGTAAATCATCCTCTGAGTGTTGTCGTTGTCCCTCTTGCTGCGACGTCGAGATGAGGCCGAAGCCAAGGCGAGCCTGAACGTCTCTTGAGATTTCGCCCGCTGGAACAACGTATGCGAAGCTAGTCCCAGGGCTACCGGCAACGATGTGACCATAAAAACGATTGTCGTCTTTACTAAATACTGCGGTGCCGCAATCACCATCTTGTAAAAGTTTACCCAGTCGCACGGGGTAGACTTCTTGAAAGGTACAATGTTCAGGAAGGCGAATGTAGGATGGTGTGGCGGTAAGTTGCCCTTGGACTCGGTAATATGGCCATGTCGTAGCAACAATACTAATGTCATGTGACTCTATCTCCCCAATATTCGAGACCATAGAGGCTGTGATCACGGACTTCTCAACGGTTTCTGGCTTCCTTGAGGTCTCAATTAGAGCGTAATCCAACGAGGGATTACTTCCCTTTAGGGAGCTCAAGACCAATTTTCCGAAATATTCAAGGCGGGATACATCAAATTCACCGAAACGCGGATTGTCCTCTGGGGGCTCGACACTCAGCCGTGAATCGTGTCGACTACCCAAGTGGTCGCTTGAAGGGCTTTCGGATCGGGAACTCGAATGCCTCTCGCGAGACAAAGCGTCGAGGCTGGCCTCGAATGATGCTTCGTCGGAATCAATCTCTCCGGGTGTGGCACTTCCTTTGCTTGTAATCTCGTCGTACTGGCTTTCATCATCTCTTTCGTCGTCACTCATGCCATCAAAATCGCAATCATCTTCACTCATCTGCTGGCCGGATGAATGGTCTGCCTCTCTGGTATGTCGGAATGCGTGTGCAACAGTCAGCTGGTAGCATCTGCTATCTTGTAAGATGATCGGGCCAGCTGTCACTGGGCGTAAGGAGAAGTCGTGTGGATTGACGACGAATATTCGCTTTCCCAACGCAGGTTCTGATCCGTCAGCCAGAACCGCTCCATCGATATCACAACCAAAAGGGAGGAGAGCCTCAATAGCCTCTCGGGACAGCTCTCGAATTATAGGGCGATCGGGTAGAGCTGAAACGTCCCCAAGTCCTATGCCAGGGTATTTGTCCATGATCCTACTCTCTTTGATAAGTTGCCTGATATTCTTGCGCGTCTTGGAATCCGTGGAGCAAATCAAAAGCTTCGGTGCTGCGTTCCTTTCGTTATGCCCAACCATATAGATCGACCACGACACGATATCAGTAGGGGGGATACTAGAAGTCTCAAGGAAATCTTTGATGTCTGGGCTCAGTTCCCTAAATGCCTGACGAGCCGGACCAGCTGCCTCCCAACAGCGATACCGGCCGCCACGCAAATATCCGATGAAAGTTCCTATAGAATCTTCAGGATTATTCCACTTGTCATCTTGTAGCCTCAGGATTCTAGGGAATGGCATCTTGCATCATCTGCAGCAGAAAATGGTGAGAAAATGGTGAGGGCGGATGAAAGATTGATTCTAAGGCGCCAGAGCCAGCCAGACGATCCCTGAGCACGAAAAGAGTCTGCGTCTGACTTTATTAATGCTAGCTGACCTTACCCCGCATAACATCGAGATGCTGCAGGACCAAGAGCGAAGACGCCCTTTTCAAGGGTCATGCGATGACTTGATCTGCACCTCTCAATATGCAGTGGCGGTGCAGCAAGCATTGGGAGGCCTCAAACCCAAGCCTAGAGCAACGACAATAAGGCCACCGAGCTTTGAAAATGAAGCAATCTTTGTTCATTGTGTCGACAGCATCGCGCACGAGTTTTGAAGGGTTCTTCTTCTGTTCAGGATCGCACCGGGCCGAGACGGAAAAGAAAACAACAAAAATGTCTTGATTTCTCTGTTAAGAGTGTGTCTAGCATTACTACGCATTTCAGCGATGCATGACTTCTCCAGAATCTCCAGGTGATGTATATATAGTAGCTTTAAACAACCCGAAAAATTGCTGGCGGCTTACTAGACATTGTACATTAGTCGTTCCTATTATAAGCATAAACCGCCTTCTCACAACCCAAGAGACCGTTACGGGTTGAACGCCTTATAAACTTGCAAAGCCCCCTCAATAGACTGTACCAACCCGAAGAATACCGTTAGAAGAAAAACGAGAATCGCAACCCAAAAGGTATACCACTGAACCCCATTCCTTCGATCGTGCCACCATTGCCGGAGAGCACGTGGCCGAGATTCATCAAACACTTGTTTCAATATAACCAAACGATCGTGCCAATAAGTAAACTTCTCAATTTGTCTTTCATCTGCATCTAGTTGCCCGATCTCAATCAACAGAGTATCGAGGCCGCGTAAAGAAGCTTGTGTTTGATACCAAGCTCTAGTGTCCCCATCCCACTTGGGAAATAGCAGAGCCATGGTATTCAGGGTCTCCTCAATGAAATCTTTCGAAAAGAGCGTTGTATCGCTGCAAGCTGCGTCAAAACCATGAATCTCCGTCCCTAGGACCCCTGCAACTCACCTTCGTTGACGCTTCAGAAAGGAAGCATGATGAAATACTGCCACTGCCTGGTCGTCTTTCAGAAGGCGGAGATGGTCAGCGAGGTTGTTGGTCCAGATGACTTCTATGCCCGCTATCTTGCCTAGATTGTTGGCGTTGAATGTCTTCTCGAGCTTTACTTTACTATGACCAAGGACTGGCTTGCTTTCGAACCGCTCTGTGACCCACTGCTTCAGACTGCCTTTTGCCCATTCTATCTGTCTGGATCCTGAATAGGCAAAAGGAAGGTTGCCAAACTCGACCATGAGCAGAATGCGAGCTGCAAGATCAATGGAGTGGCTACAGCAAGCATCGCTATCAGGAAGATTGCAGGACAGTAACAGCTTCTGGTGGACTTCTTCGCGTGTACGGGAACTTCTCAATAGGTGAACAATCGCCATGATGTCTGCATGGGTTGCCAGAGGCGTATGGCTCCCACCCTCGTGAAGCGCAATCAGTTCGCACTGTTGGATGTAGTACTTGAAGTAGAATCTGAGGTCGGACTCGACTTCTGAGCCAGGGGTATCCCATAAAGCAGCGGCTATCGCCTGCTTGGCCGGGCCAGAGAGAGCAGTACGGATAAGTGTTCGATCGAGCATGGTTATGAGGCTGGAGGATCGATTGCTTTCTTATTGCGTGGGGGCTGTATATATGGACTTACCGCTCGCTGAGGCTGAGGCCAGCATGCCAAATAATCTGTTGGAATACTTGCGCGGCTCGCCCGGTCCTTGACAGTACATGCATGTTGCACCATGCTGGACTAAGTCAACCCATAGAGACCCTTGTGCGTGGGCTGTCTAGAGGGGATGCATTCCCCACGAGCTTCTTCAACACCACTATCAGGACGCGATGAAGAAGCCAATCAAAAGTAGTAATTTGCGACGATTAATTTCGAGTCAGCCTCAAGCCCAGAGTCGAGCAGGTGCCTGGCTTACCCTAAAGGAGGTGATAGGCTGAGCGAGCTCCAGCATAAGATACCTGGCTCGCTTGGCTCCGCCATCCTCTACAGTAGGCGCCTTCACCGTGATCCCTGCTACAGGCGGCGGGTAGGGCTGAACCAATTTTGACCGTAGATCACCGATACGCCCAGGAAATGGAAGAACATTTGGAGTTTTGATCGTTAGTGATCAAGACAATTGAGATTAATTGAGATAACTCTATGACCTTGCGATGTTCCTTGATAAGTCTATTTCCGGCTCTTGGTGCAAGGATCTCAAGTCTGAAGCGGCACTTATGCTTAAAGAGCCACAACATAGCCTTAAATATGACGACGGTTAGTCAATGTGTCAGATCCTGGTTCATAGCCCACTTCACGGCGATGGGTGGCTGTGCTGATGATCAAATATACAAATGCGTCAGCCCAGCATGTAATCTCAATCTCTGCAATAATTTGAGCCTCTCACTAAAACCATGCCAAGAAAAGCAGGGAACGGGTGTATTACATGTCGGTAAGTCTCGGTATTTCGTGGTAGCCTAAGGTATCGACTAATGAGACCAGCATTCGTCGTGTGAAATGCGACTTGGCGAAACCTTCATGTCAAAGATGTACAAGTTCTAAACGACAATGCGATGGATATCTCCCTGAGGACTCGACGGTTACACGACGTCAGCTTGCAGAGGCAGCTCGGCAGATGTCAGTAATTGGACCAATCTCACAGGCTCTTTCGCAGTACCCACGGGATAGAAGTCGTTCAGCGTCACCGACGAATCTTACGCTGTTCGATGTGTTTCGTACATTAACAGCGCCGTCGACTGCATCATTTATTCCGTCGCAGTTCTGGACGAGGGAGTTGCTACAGCTTGCGCATTCTGAACCAGCCGTATGGCACGCAACACTTGCGCTTGGTGCACTGCATCAACGACATGAGCTTTTCTGGCAAGGCCGTGGGTATCACAGTGGTGAGAAATTGTGGTCGCAAGCAAATGAGAACTATGTACTCGCGATAACATGTGCCCGAGATGTGAAGGATCCAACACAATTGCTCGCATTGAGTCTTGCGCTTTTATCAGTAACAAACATGATGGGTCGATGGTCTGAAAGTCAAGTTCACATCATCGCTGGCCATCGGCTGCTAAGTCAAGCAGGCCATGGCTCCGAGACGTCAGGTGCTGCCGAGATATTGACGCGGTTGGACTTGATGGCCATGACGTTCTCTGATTCATCAGCGCCGTATCCTTATAAGCTTGCGCCAAGAACGGTGTGGATTGATGAGCACATGAAGACCGCGGAGATAGAGAGCTATGGACAAGCTGGGACGGCTTTGTTTGGGATGCTGAGAAGACTTATGATGTTGTCTGAGACGACGGATCCAGGAGATGAAGAGGGTGCTGCGAAAGACCTTGAGATGCTGCATCTCACAATGGAGGACCTAAAGTCGTGGGAGCACAAGATGGCCCAGTTCGAGAAGAAGCATCCGAATCCGCACGATGAAACAGGCGCCGTGTCCATCAGGCTGTACCACACAATGATACGCATGTTCCTATCCGGAGGCGCTTTCGGCCCAGAAACACGATGGGACAGATTCCTCGGCCATTACGAACGCATCCTCACACTCGCAGAAACACTGTGGTCCAACGCACCACCCTCCCAAGTCCAATCCCCCCTCTCCCTAGAATCAGGCTTCATCGTGCCCGCCTTCATGGTCGCCCAGCGCTGCCGACATCCCTGGCTACGTCGTCGCGCGATTAGTTTTCTCTACAAGATCAAGCGACAAGAAGGAATGTGGCACAGCGACGGTGCAGCAGCAGTAGGTCAGCGAATAATGGAGATTGAAGGACAGAAGTACTTTGCTAGCGATTTGGCTTCGCCTTTGGAAGCGATGGAGGATGTTCCTTGGGAGGCGTGGGCGGAGACGGAGGATATTCCTGCGAGGACGAGTTGGGCCGGTATAGAGAGGGTTCCTGAGATGATGAGAATGAGGGAGACGTTGGTGATGGTTGATGCGGTTGAGAAGAGGGTCGAGTTATCGCTTATAATGAGTTCAGGCGATGATATCGGTGTTTTTGGAGAAGTGAAATCCGAGACTGTGGTGTTTGGGTAGAAGAAGAGCCAGTAGTAATCACAACAGCGTATCGACATTTTCGTATTCGAGTGACGCGTTCGTATTCGCATCTGAAGTCACAACGAATATGTAAGATCACCAAACGGACCCCGAGATTCCCGCTTTCCATTTATTTTTCCCGGTATTCATTCAAGATTGGCCAATGGGAGAGTTTGTAGATAATCCTTCTGTCGTGGAGATGGAAATGGTTCGATGGCGGATCTGGAGTTTCCGATGTGCCAAGCCTCCACTGTAAAACGGTGTAAGATGTTTGGGTGGAGGGAAGGAGTAAGGCTGTGGTGAATGGCTTGTGTCCTGAATTTCAGGCTGTAGATGATTGGAGTACTTAAGAGGCGTACTCAGCTTCGTCTTACAAACAACAACAAACTCACCTCAACTTCCACTCTGACTTGACTTCTTGCGCAACAGATCCAGACACAATGGACACTCTCGTCGAAAGCGTCAACGCAACAGCCAAAATCCCCCTTCATCCATTCTGGCCATTGAACGCAGCCCTCCCTCAATATGCCGCCAACACACTCTCCTCCCGCGCCCTCGTAGCATCCTTCGTCGTCGGCGCAAGTGCCATTCTCGGAGTGACTCTGTCGCTGATTCAACAATCTCGTCGAAAACTATCAAAGACGGAGATATTTATGACACTCTGGTTTGCCCTCTGCGGCTGCATCCATTTGTTCTTCGAAGGTATATAGCCCCCCTTATAAACTGGGTTGGTCGTGGTACTAACAGACTAGGTTACTACGTCGTCAACTTCGTCGACATCTCCAACAGACAATTCCTCTTCGCCCAGCTCTGGAAAGAATACTCCCTCTCAGACTCACGCTACCTCACCCAAGATTCCTTCCTCGTCCCCATGGAAGCCATAACCGCCTTCCTCTGGGGTCCCATGTCGTTCTTTTGCGCGTGGAGTATCGTCAAGCAACATCCTCTGCGACACTCGATCCAGCTTATCATCAGCGTTGGACAAATCTACGGCGATGTGCTGTACTTTGGTACTTGCTACTTCAACGAGATTGTTCATAGCGTGGTGTACTGTCGCCCGGAGCAGTTTTACTTTTACATGTATTATGTTTTCTGTAATGCGATCTGGATTGTTATTCCGACTGTTTGTGTGGTTCATAGTGTTGTTCAGACGAAGAGGGCTTTTGCGAAGGTTCAGGATGTTGAGAAGGTGAGGAAGGGGATGTAAATGGGGTGGTGATGAAGGATGAAGGGGACGAACAACTTGATATTGAGCTGCGGTGGATCAAGTAGCAGTAGTAAAAGTCGCTCCTTTTCACTTCAACATGATCAATCAAATCCTTTCTCTCTTCTCGCACCTAACAGAGATTAGTTAAAGGTGGCATACCAACGAGTAAATTATGATCAAATCTCTTCCTTAACCCTGATTAGAGCAAATTACATTCACTTCTACCTAGCTCCCTTCTCCCAACTGCCACTTTTAACGCCAACACTCTCTGGCCCACGGTAGTCTATCGAGAAGTTCATCAGAAGCTTTGCCGACCAGATAATACTATCCTTACACTTCAGTCTTCTCTATGAGGAGTCCAAGACCGCACCCGAGAAGGCTATAGTGCATGTTCATCACCCAAGGCCTCACTTTCACCATCGATTCGGAAAGTCAGGCTCACACTGCGTTTCAACAAGTTCACCAGCTGCCTGACGAGCGCTGGTAAACTGTCCGTCTCTGGTATCAGCAACAAGCATATTGAAACCCACCTAGCTCATGATCAAGGTGCTTTGACTGTTGTTCCTGCGGAGAGATTTAGTTATGTTATTCTTCTTGCCCTTGTTGGGGAAAATCATGCTTCTACTTGGTCCTCGCACTTTGTGTGTTCGCGCATGGTGCTATCATGACCAGCACCACTCATCAAGATCAATTGTAAACTGTCAGTGCCATTCATGATACTCATTTTATTCCTTTATCACCTTAAACACTAATCATCCCATGATATCTCTACGTGTACATGGACCGTCACATATTCCTCTTCGCCATTCTCTTCCAGTGTATCCATTTCTGCGTTCCAATCGACTCACAAACTCTCTGCAACTTGTCAGCAAACCCAGTTCATGAAATCCACAAGCATTGAACTTACCTCTCTGTTATCCCTAAAATCCGTATAAAACCCATTCCAGATCTCTCTCTCCGCACAAGTCGTCTCATTCGTAGCGCAATCCGGCTGGTTCTGCAATCTCACCTCAGGATCATTAATCCACGGCTTCGGCACAGGCCAGTCAGAAAAATGCACAAACTTAGCCTCGTTCAGCACAGCATTGGGATCCCACTGTTCCCTCTCACTACCAAGGTATGCTGAATGATCCTTGGCTCTAAACTCTGCCGTGAGCATATCGTACTTCCTGTGAGGTAAGATGAGGGCGCTGTCGAGGTATAAACTGTTAACGATCTCCATGTCGTAGTCGTTTGGTCCGATGCTGTTCATCTTTTGGACGATACGCTCGAATTCAACTTCGTCAGGTTGGATCAGCATGAGCTGGGAGGAGAGGATCTTCTTGGGTGGGTTGTCATTGTAGAGCCAGTATGCGCGGGGCATGGCGACGGGACAAGGGGGGAGTTCGAAGAGTTCGTCCATGTGTTGGAGCACTATGCTGTCTGAGTCGAGGGAGAGGACGCGCTCGTATTGGGTTTGGTTGAAGGCAAGGAGTTTGGTGAAGGAATCGGCCCAGGTTTCTAAGAAGAGTTAGAGAACCACGTGAAGTTGGCATGATGATGAACGTACCGTCTTGTCCATCGCGGTGCTGAATCTCAATGGGTTGAAGAGTGACATTATACTCATCTCTGGCCCTGATTAGAAGCTTTCCACCATGCGAGCTTGAGTACTCGGCCTCTGGGTCAAGCATCTCCTGCGGATACATCAATAGTCTATCCGCCTTGCTTCCCAACCGATGCAACGCCTCGAATATCATGACTGAGTTGCAAAGGTAGTCCTCATTCGTGACATACTGGATGTAAGCGAACCTAGACCAGTCGCCACCGTCATCAACGGTCTCATTCTCATACTTCCCACCACTCATTTCCTGGAGATCCTCTTCATCCCAGTCACCGTCATCTTCAATGTTAACAAATGGAAGAAACTCATCGTCATCGGAAAACTCTCCAATCTCTCCCTTATTCTCAAGATCTTCGATATGCGCTGCCGAGGTTTGGCGGGGTGTTTGGACGGCAGTCGTCTCGAATGTCGGAGTGTAACCTTCTTCGTCTTCTTCAGCAAAATCCAAGGCATGATTCTTCCATCTCGCAGGATCGGGCACAGCTACGTTTGAAACGAGGGAGAGCTTGATGAGAAAGTAGAAGCATATCGTGATGATGGTGACCGGTGGTAAGATCCTGCAGAATCGCGACATGAGCGTTGAGGTCACACCCATCTTGTATACCTAACTCCGCAACACGCACGATTGGATCTTGCAAAATGATCTCGCGGTAGCTTAGAGAAGAAGAATAATTGAGATCAAGACATTTTCGACGTCGTGGACAGGAAATAGGGACTCAAAGCAAGGGAGGCAAAAGCCAAGTATCAAGGGATTAGGTTTGATGAACATAACCCTTTGCAAGGCTGATGTGAAACCATGTCTCACAGTCAACTAATCAACATCCTTTCTGTCGATCAATGGTATTTAGAGACATGAACTATTCAATTGATGTGGTTTATCGTATTGGACACCATGTCAAATCTTCGCATGTCTCAGAACGCCAACAGAAACGAAAGAAAGGGAGACCCCAGAAAAGGGACTCGATAGCGCCATACTTCATTCCAGATACTTAGAAAGGGGTCTGGATGCATACTCAACAAGGAAAAAAACTCAAGACTTTGAAAGATAATACTAATCTAAACTGAGTAGAGTCTCCCCTAAGCTTAGATTAGATTTACCTAAATATTTTTGTCGCTCATGGTCAAGATCTTGAGGTCTTTGCCTACCCTAGACAGTCTCCCTTAAGATTATGTAGGAGTACGTTTGGGTGCGTCGCATTCTGCTCATTTTCTGCGATGATTCAAAGGCGCTCAATTGATCTCCGGCATCTGCAATAGGTTTATTTCATATATTACAAAGCATGTTACCCTCATTCCTTCTAATGGCAAACTTTTGTCTTTTATAGCCCTACATTATATGTTCTCACAATAACCTCCACGATCTCCTGATTTCGCACCCACTGTATCCCCAGTCACTCGTGGAACACTCCAACCATGAATCGAACTGAGGTACAAACAACTAGCATTCGATGTCTTATAACTACAACGGTATTCCCAAGTCCTTCAAGAGTGATGACTGCTTCCGAAAGGTGAATGGCATTCTTGTCACTAAAGTTAGTGTAAGTCGATAATTCTGAAGTTGGCTTGACCTAATTCCAGGGAAACGTGACTCTGTAGGGTTGAAGGACGTAAGGATATAGTTGTACCTTATTACATCTGACTTTTTTTTGAGTGCGAATGAAGTTTTGGATGGGCAACGCTGAATATGCTCTAGCAAGAAGCCCTCACATCATTCAAATGCCCTCAGGCGGTAGGTAACACACTTCTGAATTGAAGCCAAAGGACCAAATTGAGCTCTTCTAAATGTTTCCCCAACTATACCGAGTTATATTAAACTTAACCAAGTACTTTCGTCACTCAGGATAAAGGTCCCAAGTTTTTCTTGCCTCACCTAGCATATCCACCGGGCAGGTAAACTGACCAAGAACAGTATATTCGATAGACCATGATGGTCGAAGTTCTAAAGGATAATCGTTAAAGTTTGTGATATTATAAATCAGAATCTGGAAACGACCTCGAATGTGCTTACATGTCTCAATAGGAGTCATAACCGCAGTCCAAAGAGCAGTCAGAACTATGACACTTACGCAAAGGGATTCGACAGAACTATATAACCGTTTATCGAATCTCAGTCAACGCGGGGATTGTCGTATCGTCGCACTCCCTCATCTGATCGAGACTCCTACTCTTGGTTCAGACGCCTTCTCACATCAAGACTAATAAATCAACGAGTAGTAACCATTTGAACCTTGGGCATTAATTTGAAGATTATTTAAAGGGTGAATTTGACTGGCGGGTCTTATCCTTGAAGGATTTGCTGAGCCTTAAGGATGGTGCTCTTTTGATGGGGACATAATAGAGGAGCGAGAGATCATCCTAAAGAAGGCTTCATCGCCCCTCAAATTGATGTTGGTCCTTCTTACCATGGAATCTGCGCCTTAAAGCGTCATACATAGAGGTGGACTCATTGTTAAATGTAGCCGCCAAATTGTCATGCTTAACGAATCACGGTGCGTTGAGAAGCATGCATGATGCTAGAACTTCTACAGCGGGACGGTGCGGGCGCTTATTTCGTGTGGGAGGGACGGGAGGAATTCGCAAGCAAAATAATTAGTAAGAGTGTTGGAAGTGAGTGGATACTGATGATCCAATGTCAAAGAGTTGACTGGGCAGAGCTATTTGAGTGTCTTGAGTTCAAAGTCAACGTTGAAGTTGATTGCCAATCGTAACTAAAAGTGAGGGGATGTTAACAGTGGGTAAATTACACTCTATTTGACTAGACACCCACACTCTACTCATATCTCACAATGCTATCTCGTTATATTTGTCGTAATCTTGATCTCCATGTCTGATTTCGGTTCTCGTAGTTGGCTTGGAAGTCTGTTAGACCAGAATCTGCACTTGGTGCCCCAACCGCGACATCATGGGAAGAGAGGATGCAGTGTCTCTTGACCTATGAACCTAAATGGGGTAATAAATCCAAACACACGACCTTATGAAAAGTTATAAAAGCTTCAGGCAAATCTAGAATGGATTTGGGGAGCCGTTGGGTTAGTTTTCTGGTGCCCTCAGAAGTCTCGTTTCTCTTCAACGCGAACATAAATGAGAATGGCCTCGCTTATGTTCCTGGACTTGATGTGAAAATGTCATTTACCCCTCGATCAGATAACCGGATTAATAGAGAGTTCCTGTCTCATTTAAGTGCCATCAAGTCCATGGTATTTTACACTCCCAGGGGGTGATGAGGTTCTTGGTTGGAGATTCGAATCTCTTCTATCCTCTATCAATGACTTTATCAGTGATTACATTGATGCTCCTTAACACCCCAGTCATTTCAATATCAGTTTTAGTTTATAGGACGGAAACAGTAGGAGGCAGACTGAGTCTCAAGGTTACGCGCTTCTTTAGAGAACTGCTCTTGTCTGGGGTCAGAAGAGCCTTCTCCAAGGCCCGGCTACCCTCGAGAGCCATAGCTCGATCAACATTCACCCCAACGACATCAGCATGGCCAAATTCGGTCTTGTGTACGCAAACTATCTCAGTGCAGCAGTGTAGGGGCGGGGTTCGCCAGGGGGACAGTGGTTTGGCCGAACCAACAGGCGAATCACGATGGTTGTCTAAGCGCCTCGATGAGCCGTGCAACCTACACTGCATCTCTGAAACGGTTTGCGACAAATGTGTCAAACAGCCTTGCCGCAGCTCTGATGTCGCGATGGTACTGTTATCTTACCGTTTTACGCTTCAATATTCGTCGATACTGAATTGGCGACTTTCATGCCAGCCTCCATAATCCAGCAAACTAGCGATGGCATCACGAGACGACTACATCGTCGGTTGGGCATGCGCCCTACCCTTGGTAGTGACCGCGGCTGAGGCGATGCTAGACTCCGTTCATGCCGAAGGGCCTTCGGATCTGGATATACCTGGCGATATCAAGCTTGTGTTTGGCAGACTTAATGGCTACGACATCGTGATCGCCCATCCATCGCCCAGCAATCAAGAAACTATTTCAGCTGTAAAAATCGTTGAGCAGATTCGTGTGACCTTCAGGTCCATCCGGTTCATTCTTCTGATCGGATTAGGAGGAGGCGTTCCGCACACAAAGGAGAACATTTCCCTTGGGGATGTAGTTGTCGGAAGACCAGAGCCAGGTCGCTCTGGTCTGGTGCAGTACGAGGGAGGCCAGGTGCACTGGAACAATGACGACGCGGGCAATGGACCCTCTGGGAGCTCGTTTGAAAAGCCATCCTCCAGTCTGTTGACCGCGATGCGGAAAGTCGAGATGAACTCGATTCTTGGCAACAGTCACATGTGGACTTACATGAACACCATCATTGACAAACATCCTATGACATTCGCCCCGCCCGAGCTGGAGAAAGAGGGTGCTGTCGATGCGCAAGACGGTGATGGGGACGTAAAGAGCTCGGATGGAAGAGGTGAACGGAACGAATGCCATACTCATACCTGGCAAGCAAGCACAGACCGGTTGCCCAAGGTCCATTACGGGCTTGTTGCGAGCTGTCGGCATCAATTGAGAGACTCCAAGACTCGGGATAGCCTGGCAGCGGACCACGGCATCCTCTGCTTCGAGACCGAAGCGTTTGGTCTACCCGACAACGGTCGTATCCAAGTCATCAGAGGAATAAGCGGTTATTCCGATTCGCCATTTACTGATGAATGGAAAGGCTATGCCGCCGCTGCAGCGGCGGCGTACGCAAAAGAGCTCCTAATGTCGATGCCCACCGTCGCAAAGCCCGTGGTGCGGGAGATCGAAACCCGAGCAGCAGCAGCTACCGTCCTCGATGCTCTCCTATTGACCAGACCCGAGGTAGACCGCAGCTCATTGATCGCCCTGAAAGGACGGAGAGCTGATGGCACATGCGAGTGGCTCACACGACACACAAACTACCAACGATGGGCCGTTGCTGATAGTCCGCCTCTGCTCTGGGTCTCAGGTGGCCCTGGAAAAGGGAAGACGATGCTGGCTATCTACGTAACCGAACTGCTGCAACCAGAACAAGATTCGACAGAGGGAGTCCTTCTCTACTATTTCTGCAGCAACCGTGACAAGAACCGGAACTCAGCTGTTACCATCATGAGAGGAATTATACACCAGTGGATCACCGCCGAGCCTCATCTCGCGCAGTGCGTCAAGAGCTATTTCGACGGCTCTGAAACAATTAAATACACGATATCAAATTTTGTAACCCTATGGAGGGTCTTTCTCTCCCTGCTTCGCGAGACCACATCAAATACCATTACCTGTGTGCTGGACGGCCTGGACGAGTGCGAAAAAGGATCGCTCCAACAGCTCCTGGATTCTTTGAGGAACTATCTATCTCAAAATGCAAGAGATACAGAGTCGAAACTAAAACTGATTCTTCTCTCACGTTCCCAACCGGCACTACTGGAAAGCAAACTCGGTCAGTTTCCCCGGGTCAAGCTGGACGAATCAGACATGGAAGTAGCCAAAGATGTCGAGAGATACATCACATCCAAGGTTTCAGAGCTCGCCTTGGATCAAACCCTGTCAGAGGGCCAACTGTCACAAGTTAGGCAGGCCTTGATGGACGGCGCCGATGGCACCTTTCTCTGGGTCGGTTTCGTCGCAGACGAGCTCAAGGGGCGAAGTTGGCAGAAGATCCAGGATATCCTTCATCGAATGCCCAAAGGCCTAGGCGGCGTTTACCAGCGGCTTCTGCAGCAGGTTGAGGACAAAGAACAGCTGATTCACATCCTCCAGTGGCTTGTTCTTGCTGCAAGGCCCCTGGCTATCGACGAACTCTGTGTGGCAGCCAAGATTGCTCCATCTGCTGACCGTACTGCCGCCGAAGCTACACGGGATCGGCTCGACTCCTGCGGACTTCTGGTCAAAGTCGACGGAGACGTAGCCAATCTCGTGCACGAGTCTGCCAAAGAGTTTTTCCAGAGCGATCAAGTTGATGAGCTGAAAGAGATCAGCATGTTCCGCATGGGTCCGACCACCCATCTCGCACTTATGGACGCTTGTCTGTCACTGATCGAGAACAGTTATGCTTTCCCAGGGGGTGTCAGTGAGCAGTCCCTCACAAAACCCCTCCTGGCCTATGCCTGTCTTTACTGGCCCTACCACTTGCAGCGCGCACAAGAACTGGTCGGTGACCGTTCTATGTTCACCCGTTCATTCTTCAATCCCGAGAGTCCGATCAGGGAGGGCTGGTGGAAGTTCTACTGGGACAAGGAACAGTATGGTGGAGCACCGCCCTCTTTTTCACTACTACATCTCGCCTCATATCTGGACATTCCAGCTTGGACCAAGGTGTTGCTAGAGCAAGACGCTGCGAAGCATAGCTCCCGCCACAGGCTCGTTGCACGGAAAGATAACTATGGCCGGACACCACTGTTCTGGGCCGCGACCCGGGGTCACAAGGACATCGTCGAGCTGTTACTCAAGCACGGAGCCCCCGTGGGTTCCAAAGACCGGAGCAATATGACACCGCTGCATATAGCGGTCACGGGAGGACACAAGGAGGTTGTGGCTCTCCTCCTTGAACATTCCGCCCCGATCGAAGCCAAGGCGAGCTATGGCGACACACCACTGATACGAGCCATCCAGGCCAACTCCAAAGAAATCGTCCAGCTCCTTTTGGAGCATGGAGCGAGTGTTGCTGAGCTGCCTATCGTCGGTGCCGACCCGCAGAGCCAGCGGACGATGACCATGGAAGAGAGGGCAGAACAGCTGCTTGGGTTACAAGAGCAACTCTTCGCTGCCAGGTACGAGGAATCTTCGCGCCTCGTCGGTCTCACGATCAAGACGCTCACCTTATCGTTCCAATTCCAACCCATCGTCAAACTTTTCAAGTTCTATCTCGAGCACTCCTCTATCGGTCGTTGGGAAGTGATGCACGTGCTTCAGGACCTGGTCAGGAATAACAAGATTGCAAGGCTACGGAACTGGGCTCAAGCCTATATCGATTTCGGCACCCAACTTGTCCAGGCAGAGGACGCAAAAAACCTCGCCATCATGACGGATCTTTCAGTCCAGGTATTCCGCGTGGTCTCCACCGGTGACCTCGAGGCTCTGCTGGTGATTGGCGTCCTCGTCGGCTCGAGCGTCATTCTCGCCGCAGCTGAGAAGGGATGGTGGCCGGGCGTGGACATCTCGGCACGCACGTTCGCTCAGTTTGCTGCTCTGGCGTACCACAGAGACCGGGGCGAGTTCTTGCACTACGGCGTCCGGGAGTTTCTCGTTGAGTTCGACGGCTGCATCCGCGGTGGAAGAAGGGCTGAGAGCTCGGCTCGAACCGTGGTTCTCTTCAGCACGCACTTCGCCATCATCGACACCAAGGAGGCTCGCCCGACCGATTACTTTGCGACGATCATCGCAGAGTACTATGAGGGCTACGTTGGTACCGCTGATGAGGAGCGGCTCTTTGGTGACGCGACTAATGCGTGCGCTGATGAGCTTGAGATCATTAGCAAAACACGTGATTCTCACAAACTGCTTTTGTTTATCACTGCTATCTCACAGTTTATCGAGCGCTGCTCCAAGGACATAGCCAAGGATCACTTCTTAAGTATGATACCGGCGTCGTGCCTGATACTCTGTCAACGAGACCATGCCATTCATGAATGGCTCATTGCCCAAGCAATCCCGGAGACCATGAGTGTTTCGATATCGAAGCAGCCAGAGATCGCCCAAAGGCGTGCCTTCAAGGCTCTTGTTGAGTGTATCATCATTGGTAGACAATACGGGCTCTTAGATCCCGTGGGTCTACAACAGAGGCTTAGGCAAACTCCTAACATCAGTAATTATGTCAGTGAAACGCTGGAGGAAATTTTGTTTTGAACTGGTCTTACAAATTGGTGCGATAGTGCAAGCTACTAAAAACAGAGGGATTCAGTCGCTGGTTGATACTTGCACTATTGGGATCTAATTTAGCTTTTCAATTGTATTATTTACACAGCTAGCCATGTTTGCATTAAAGCTGCACAACCTTCTGTTGAACTAGAGGCTTTCCTTGCCTGTCAGGGTTCCTCTGATTGTTATTGTATAGCACCAAACCTAGTAGTAATATTAACTGGGAGTGGCGACCTATGTATGTCAAAACGATCCTTAGCCTCTGAGTCGCTTCCAGAGGCTTGACATCCGAGATCGAAGTCGCTCGTTTCCTGACTCTGCCGTAGCTTGGTTATGAGTGTCAGACGAGGTAGACGTGTTCTGAGCCGGTAAATTAGGCCTTATCGGCCGCGGCAAATCATCAAACTGCAAAGGTAACTTCGCAGAAGCGGGATTGTGTAACAGCCATCTGATCTGGTCGTCTTTCTTGGTGTCTTGAACTGGCTTTCTGTACCCGTACTGCCGAAGTTGTTTCAATATTTCAGGGTCATGGACAAATAGTTCCCACATCTGTCGCCCTACTGGCAGGATGTTCGGATCCGCACCCTTTCTTAACAGCAATTCTACGATTCGTAGATGGCCTTTACTCGCAGAATAATACAGTGCAGTTCTCTTTCCAAGATCTGTGCCATTAATATCGTGACCCTGGTCCAAGAGGAGTTCGACCAGGTCTATAATATTCTCCCGTGCCGCTTTTCGTAGTCCGGTGACTGGCCTGCAACACCGAGACTTGGAGTACGCCAGATTGCTGAGTTTCGCATAAGCACGACTCTCGAGCTCAATGTCGAGCCAGTCTTCTGCTGTGCGTCCGAGCTCGTCTCGTTCGACGAGGAGCTGATCACTAAGAGGGTGGTAGAGGAGTTGCCTGACCGTATCCAGATGCCTCCCTAGAACGGCAAGATGCAGCGTAGACCAGCCGTGATTGTCCTGCGAAAGAAAGAATTGCTTCATTCCTTCATTGTAAAGTTCGTTGATCGCCAACACTGTATCATGATCCCCTAGATAGGCAACGTGGTGCATTATTGTCCAGCCATGACACGTTATAGTATCCAGGCTTGCCCCGGATGTGAGAAGCGGACAAATTCGACTCATACCACTGCCTGCAGCACAGTGCAATGGTGAAGTTCCATATGAGCTGAGCGCGTTCACTTTACCCGCAGAACGTAGGATTAAGTGTATGATATCATCTACTGTGTCCCCCTCGCCATCGATGATTCGGTCCGTGGTATGTGATGCGGGCCCCTCAACAGCCCAGTGTAAGGCGGACCACCCGTCGTGATCTCGCACGTTCGGAGAGACATCTTCTGAAATGAGTAGTCTGACTACATCCGCCATTCCCTGGGCAGCCGCCTGGTTCATCAGGAGAGCTCCGTAAACTTTCGGTAGTGATGGTCTTGACTTGATGAAATGCATAACCAGGTTGTGCTGGCCAAGACTGATTGCCCATTCCACAGCAGACATGCCACGGGAATTGTCATACTTATCCGCCGGATCAACCCCAAGTGATTCCAGTTTGTAGATTGCGTCTAAGTGTCCGCTAACGGTAGCCCATAGTAGTGGCGTGAATTCATAATCGTCGCGTATATCGATTGGGGCGCCAGCTTGAACCAGCAAGCCAACACCCTCCACAAAGCCTACTTTTGCCGCATAGTGCAGTGGTGTCAGGCCGTTTTCGTCTTTGGCACAAACCGCCTCACGATCAAAATATTCTAGCAAAAGCCCCATTATATCTTTTTTGTGGTAAAGAGCTGCATAATGAAGAGGCTTCTTGCCACGAGATCGATCACTTCTAGTGACGAGGTGCATCAAAGCCCGAACTCGTTCCGAATTGTCGCTTTGAATCGCTTGGCGAAGTGCATCGAGGTCCGTCTGCCGGTGGATGTCTTCAATATCAAGGATTTTAATCGAATAAGTAATGCTTTCCTTGAGATCGCCAGCCTGATCGTCTCCCGCAGTATCTGAGAAGTTCAATTCATCATCGTCCATGATGCTACACATAGACCCACGCAACTTTGCATTGCCGTCGTCTTCAATTAATACGTCACTGTCGAAGTCGCTGGCTTCTGTCTCGCCGTCATTAGGGAGCTTCTGTAACGCAAGCAGGGCAAGCTCCTTCATATGTGCGGCCACGTGAGAATGCAGATTGTCGTAAGAGAAGATCCCATAACGGTCAGCCTCTTCAGATGGGACAAAATCATCACCAAAGGGACACTCGTGTATTTTGTCCTGGAAGGGTCTCCGTGCTGCTTCACTCAATGTCCGGACGTGCGCTTCGGGAACACCGTGTTCATCATAAGAGTGCTTCTGGAATTGGATCTCGTCTCTGAAGATCATAGGCTTGTGAGAAGGAGCTCTGCATTCCCACGCGATTCCGTGCGAGTTCTGCATATGACTCATCCACGCTTTGGACGATTCGAAAGTCAACAGATCATGACCCTGCCGATATGAATCCGTACATGCAGTGAAGAGACAAATGAATGGCTCCAAATCCCTAATAACATGGGTTCTGTTGGCAGTTAGTCTTCACACCACAATAGAAGAGGAGCGGGTTTGCGCACCTCCAGATATTGGACTTGTTAGGGCCCTTGAACTCAATGATCACGCCACAATAAGGGCATTCATTCTTTTGCGGAATGGGTGGGAAAGACAGCTCGTTATTCACCAACACGGACTTTGCGCGGGGGACCTCCGTTGTGGACTTTGCATACAGCGCCCCGATCTCAGTCTGCCGAGCGGTAGTAGCATAAGTTAACGGGGCGGGTGGGTAGTCCTGCCGGCTAGGTTCCTCGTTGGTGACTTTGATTTTTGGAGGTGTCTCTGGGGCGAATCGCACAGTTCTTGGCTTCTCTGGAAGCTTGGGCAGCGGCAGTTTTATTTGACCTGCTTGCGGATGTTCAATGCTCAATGCAATACGTCTCCGGTGCAGCCGCTGATACGATAGTCGCCGAAGCCGCAGGACATTTGCTTCGATTAGGGCACAGCGAAGCGACTCTGGGGCCTCAGGGAATCGGAAGCGAATATAACAGTCGGTGTACAAGCGCAGCTCATCAATAGCACGCTGTGTTTCATCATCCAGCTGATAGTCTTTGAGCTTTTGTGCTCTCGAGGTCTTTGCAGACTTTCGAATCGCATTGGACAATCGAAATAGTCGCGTCACGGTACCACTGATAGTGTAAGTGAGGAGGGTAGTGTTTTTGTCGGCTTGATCTTCGTCACTGTCTGTGTCGCTGGCGTTGTCATCACTCCCGACCATGCGCACTTGATCTGAAATAGATATCCGCCGCTTCTTCCTGCTCGGAGTCGGTGGCGGCTCATCGATCGGTTTTACTATAACAGAAATTGCCGTTAAAAGCCATCACTTAGTTACATAATGAGTAGCGTCGGGTCTACTCACACTCCATAAGAGAATTGTAGATCACGTCTAGAAGCTGGTGAAGAATATCTACAATATTCGGACTGTATCTGAGCCTGAAATCAAGAGAGATGTTCGGCGGTCCAAATACGTCCATGTTGGAAGTCCATAGCGTAAACCTCGCTAACTGGTCATCTATTATTGTTGGATCGGGGATAATGTTGGGCAAAGCCATATTCCTCTGGAAGAGTTCGGTGCATTTCAGAGCGTGCTCGGCGATCGTAGGTCCGGAAATGTCCTGGAGAAAGACATCCTCTGGCTTGTCCAGATCCATGGGGGCAGATTGTGCCATGATGGTCGACCGGACAGGCAACGAGGGCTTGCTGGGAGGCTCACGATTTCGGGCTATGGAGTAGGTCTTGTGTGGCTTGCGACGTTCAAAGTTTGCAGACCTATTTCTGCCTTAGGCCCTCGAGGAGGTGTTGCTGTATGGTCATACAGCACAAAGAGCCAACTGCATCGGTGGTGTTCATCGAGCGCGGCGGTAGCAACCAACAGCTTACAGCATTCAGACAGCGCTGTTATTGGTCCATTCCATCGGGTAGACCAGTGTTAGCCGCTCAGCGGGAGGGGCGGGGCGACCGATAGTGTGAGAGATTTGGCACTGTCGCAAGCAGCAGACCCTGCTTCCAAGCGCGCGCTAATGAAACCCCATCTTCATCACAGAGGTTGAGGTTGACTTGCAAACCTCTGAGGCTTATATATAATGACTGGCTTTCGCCGCAGTCTAGCAGTTAGCTGTGACTAATATACTGCTATGGCTTTTATTGAATCAAGCGAGTTTTCCCCCGTCAGCCTAAAGAATAAATCAAGGAGTGAAATCATCTACGATCAGGCTCACAACCTTCATCGAAGCCATGGCGACTTTTACGAAGACTTATTTCCTTTGCCCCACCTCCGAGTTCATTCAGGCGCCTCCCGCTGGTCCCTTACGGCTAGGCTCCATACTTCGGTCCACAGCAACGCCCCAGTATCCTCTCAATGGCACGCACATTATTCCTCTTCTACAGGACCCTTCTTCTATTGTAGAGACCGCATGGAAGAAAACAGTCTCGGCCGAAACGGGGCTGGGACTCGGCGTCTACGCACAATTTCTACAACTCGGCCTTGGTCCTGAAGCCAGTGCTGATCATTCCAGCCAAGCGTCAAGCGTCTTTGCGTTTGATTCCATGACAACGGTGTCTTTCGACCCAGAGCCGGAGTATGTCAAGGAAGCAATCAAAGCCCCTGCTGTGCAGGCCTACTTAAGAGAGCCGAAGCAGCGCTTCTCCCCCATCGTCTCGCTCTACCTCGTGACCGGCTTAAAGCTCGTCAAAGGCGCAAGCATCAAGTATTCGACGTCGAGAAGCACGGATGTCAAAGCAAATGTCGGCCTCAACGTGGCCCCTCTCGGCCTGACCATTGGCCCGAAAGGACACTGGACAAAGAAGAGTAGTGACGAAACTGAATTCAGCAGGGAGTCTGAATTCGTTTTCGCGTTTCGTGTCAAGCGGCTCAAGTTTGGACTTGGAAGAACGCTGGAGGCAGAAGGTTATACAAAAGGTGCATTCTTGACGACTGGGGAGGCAGTTAACAGCGAGCAGGAAGCTTGTCTGATGGATGATGTGGATGGCTCCTCTTGCGCAAATGCTAGTTTCGTAAGTGATGCTACTGAAGGCGAGAAGGTGTACTGCGTTCCTGCATGATCTAGGCTAGTCTAGCAGGATATCTTGAAGGACACATAACAACAGGCTTTCTCTAAGTCAACATATTATTAGGGACCATATTCGAGTGAGCATTTTCCTTCTAGTTAATTACTGTAACATCTCGCCCCTGATCTGCTTGATTCTGTTATATACATCCTCCCTTGATGTTCCCATGTTCGACAGAAAGTGTGGCGGGATGTAGTCGTAACAATCGTATTTGTTGCCTTTCCTCATGCTCTTGAGCACACCTTTCATAAAGTCAAAATCCTTAAGCCACCAGCCAAGTCGGTCGGAACCGGTGGGTAAATCTTTCTCTTGCTGCCTCACAAGAGAGAGGAGCGAAACAGCAATCCCGGCGGCGATGGGCGTCGCTACTGATGTCCCGGACATGACACGCATGTCCTCGTTATGACCACCTGTACCAACTGGCCAATGGGACTCGACGTTTTCCCCGAGGAGGCAGAAGTTCACATCATCTTCTTCAGCTATCGGATTAAACCTGGAAGGTCTCCCGTTCGCGTCGGATGAGTGTATACAAAATACCCCGCTATCTTTGGCTGGGAAAGCTCGACCGTGGTTTGCCCCGTCATTTGACGCCGCTGCGAACATCAGTGTTCGGTTCGCCCTTGCATTCTGTATTGCTTTCATCATATCCTCATCGAACTCCCGGATTCCGAAGGACATGGAGATAACATCCACCTTCCATACGGATACGGCGTGGTTGACGGCCTTACACGGTGTTAGTCAAAGGGTTCAAGGAAAGTTGCATCCCCAAGCTCTACCCATGTCATAATATATGCGCAATACTGCTTTCAGACTTACCTTTGAGATGGCGCTATAGCTGTCGCGACCTAGCGTTGCTTGGTTCGCGATTCTGGCTATAAAAATCTCAGCACACGTGGCAACCTTGAGGAGGAGACCAAGTGCATGGGTGCCGTGTCCAATTTCATCCCGGCACTCCAGCTCATTCTGTCCGGCAACAAAATTCCGGAAGTCCTTTATCCGCGGATCGATGTGTCCTTCGTTAGTCTTCACGAAATGAAGGTCAGGGTCGAAACCAGAGTCCAATATTGCTATGCGCACCGGCCCATCAACGCCAGGCGCAGCGCTTTGATTCCCTTTATCGTAGGTACCGACGTACTTATAGATCGTCATCGCCATGCTATCCATCCACCGATCTGATAATACTTTTCTTCAAGAGTTGTCAGTTCGCACAACACGAAAACGCCCCGAAAGATAACTTACTCTTGCTCAGAGACCTTTTGATGGTTTGCATCAAAGAATTGTAAGCTTTGAGAAGCTTCCATAGGTATGTAGGAGCGAGGCAAGCCAGAAGTCTGCACTGTGCTGTACCGTCTAGCTGTCGTCTGCAGATCTGGAGACGATAAGATCACTGGGGGTTCTGAAGCAGCTTTGGTGACTGACTCGCGCCTAGCCGTATGCTGTCGGATGACCTCGCAGCCATTCCTGCCCCAACAACGCTGGATTTCTTGAGCACTCAAGCTCTGCAAATTTTCTAAGCCTTTCTCCCACGTACTGAGAACCTCGGATTCGAGTCTCTTCACGACGTTCTGGTAGAACAGCTTCTGAACGCCGGCGGATTCAAATGTTGTATATTCTCCGGCGGGTAGGTATTCCCATTGGAGGCATGCCTTTGTGGCAAGGTAATAATCCAGCCCAGCATCATCTTCGAGGTCTCTAAGGACTTCTAAACTGGTATAGTAAGCGCTGTTGACATTCTGACTAGCGTTTGGGTCATCTTGCCAAGCTTCTATAGGTTTGCAATAATGAAGCTCGCACAGCAAGATACCAAGCGCGAGCACGCTAGCGTTAGGATGAACCATATGCTTAGCAGTGTCTATATCGGCTTCATCTTCCCTCGCCATGCCTCTGTTTGGCATGGCAACAGGGACTCGCTTCATGTCCAGAAAAGGTTTTGTAATGTCTGGAAGACTGTCTTCCTCCAGTGGCTGGAAGAACTGTATATTTGAATGATTGAAGGTCGGTTGTACCCAGGGTGTTTCAAGGAAGGGAAGCAGCGCCGTTGCAAGGACAACAGCAAGTATTCGCTTTCCCCTGTGTGGCAGAACCGAGGTCCCTCCAGTCAGCTCCTGTTGGCGTTTGAAAAGAGCAGATAGTGACACCATCTGCGGATGATGAGGATCCCCAAAGACTTTTGGCTGTGGACGAAGCCTCTTGAACATTCCATTCTCAAACTTAAGATGCAAGCAAGTTTGTTGGTCTATCGACTCGGTGATAGTTTGACAGATATGCACAAAATCAGACAACTCACTTGACGTGATCTCTGATTTGTGCCCATGTACGTCGACTGCCTCGTCCCTACACAGATCGCATTGGTCAATCGATCGTTTTCGCGAATAAGGCACTTACTTGATCGTGATCTTTGCTTCCTGCAGTGAGACCTGTAACAGTGATCTCACGCCAAAGAAGACTTCGAATGACGTCTCTAAAGGCGAGCTTTTACTTGGCGGAGGCAACGAGAGCCTGACACTCAAGCGCGAGCATTTCTGACATACACACGTCCAGTGTGTTCGCAGCCCCTGATATAGTGACATGGACTGTTTTCTCGCCCGGATTGCAAAGTCTGCTTCTGGCGCATTGGCATTATCAACGGCTTCAGAGTTGTCTCGAACAATTATCCGGCGTTTCTTCGTGATCGTATCCATATGTCGAAACTCCTCGAGGAGAGGGTCCCGGTCTCGCTTTCGTTTGCTCAAACTAATTGTTGCGTTTAACGGTCGACCTCCCAGTCCATCATCCCGTTGTAGGATGCGATTGGCCGCTTCGAGGTTTGGATACGGTGCCTCTGGGTTAAAGTTCTATTTCATTCTGCATCAGTTGTGGAAATCGTTGGCTGGGATCAAGTAGCTGACAAAGTTGACCTCATGGTTCTGCTTGACCTGTACACAATTATTGAGCGCACGTAATGCGCTGGCCTGGAGCTGTGGATCCAGACTTTCAAAGTCTTGGTTCTCGTACTGTAAATAAGCATCCGTCCGTAACCAAGCGTCGTCGCGCCTCTGCGAGTTCGCCGTCTGAGGAGTTGGCTGTTCTGGCGACAAACTTGCTAAGTAACCCATTATCCTCCTGAACCAGCCGGCTTCATTGTTCTGGCTCATAGTTGGCGCAATGTAATCGTGATCGTTGCACTCTGATGAGTTGTGGCAAACGTCCCTTAGGTCAAGTTGGAATAGAATCATGTAACCGAGGCGATCAAACCGTTCTGCGCCAGGCGCCTTATCGCTGGGGATGGGGTCTTCCCGAGCCGTCTCGCCTACCACTGGCTAGGAATTGTGTTGGTCATTACCTCAAGACTCAACCTAGCCATCTTCAGCTTACACACGACTGTTTCTGAAACGATCCTCGCCTGGAAACCCTCTTTTGGCCAATCGAAGACGTCCATATTCCCCCTCTACGCTTCAGTAGTATCGGCTAGCCGCCGAGGCACTCAGGCACCCACAACGGGATCGCGCCGCGCCGCGCCTAGCTCCCTTCTATCCAACCTAGGTATCCGTACTCCCCGCCCTTAGCGAATGCTCATGGTGGCCTTGACCCTCCTCCTCGTCCTCTTCCTCCTGCACCGTCGATATCTTTACCGAACAACTCCTCCGGTCAGACGATAATTCAGTACAGCCTGGAACAACTGCGCACAGTCATTATGACCGGGCTAGATACTGTTAAAAAACGCCGCACTCAGCCTAACGACCTAGACGGCGCAAAGCAGCAAATGGCCAATCCATCACCCACAACACGAACCGTCACATGGCACGATATTCCTGAGTGGCGGCGAGATAACAAGTATATCCTCGCCGGCTATCGCCCGTTGGAAGCAGACTATTTACAAGTTGTCAAAAGTCTCACTTTCTTGCACAATGAGACCTGCAACGTGTATACCCATTTGATTGGCGCTGTGTTACTGCCACTCTTTGCGGTCACTATTCTCCGAACTATATATGGGCCTCAGTATATTGACGTCACAAGAACTGATTTTATCATGTTCAGTATCTTCTTCTGTTCAGCCGAGAGCTGTCTGATCTTCAGCGCTGTGTATCATCTTATCGGAAGTCATTCACACGAGGTGGAACAATTCTGGCACCGAATGGATTTGCTAGGGATCGTTATTGTGACCGTCGGCACCTTTATCCCCGGGATCTATTATATCTTCAATTGCGAACCATTTTTACAGAAGATTCATTGGACTATTGTTCGCCACCCGAGCCACTCAGTTACATCCTCGACTGTGAGAGGGTGTGACAAGTCTCAGAAGCATGCTGACCGAGTCATTAGGTTGCTCTTTGCGGGTCTGCCACAGCTGCTCTCATCTCCATACCTAAATTCAGGACATTGCGATGGCGTAAGGTGAGGGTCGGCGCCTACGTGGCGCTCGGTGCTTCTGCCTTTATCCCCTTATTGCACGGCGTACAGGTCTATGGGCTAGAATATATGCTCGGGTATTCGGGCATGAAATGGTACCTTGTCGAGCTCCTTCTATACGGAGGGGGCTGTGGCCTTTATGCAGTACGTACATTTTATTCTTCTCTTCCTGGCCTTTCCATATCGAGGGAGAGACATTTCTAACCTAGGGGTGCAGTTCCGAATCCCTGAGCGTTTTGCACCAGGCCATTTCGACATCTGGTTCAGCTCACATCAGATCTTCCATGTGTCAATCTTATGCGCCATGTACGTGCATACGATTGCGCTGACGCAGGCTTTCACAGCATGCCATACTTTGGATATATGCCAAATCCAATCTGCTCATCAAGCTAGAGGCAAAAGCTCATAACGGCCAAGTATCAGGATCAGTAAGGCCACGCTTGGTTCCTATGTTCCATCGCATTTGGAGCCCGGCTGGTCAGATGGACCACATATCCTTTAGATTCCGAAAAGGCACATAACATGTCCATGTCAAATCAGATCACCAGAAAACCACTTAGTCACCAAAACCCACCGGATGAACTCTTCCGAATCAGGACACTAAATGAGCCTTATCGGAATCTAAGGGTCAGGGTTTCTGTTGCCAGTCAGCCAATGGGATCTGAAGGAGCACTTCAATTTATCCATGGATGATAAGATTCTACCTCTGTACATAAACTGATTAACTTGAGCGGGTCTGAGCCATGGAGGCAAGAAAACTTAGGACGCCACAGGGAGCAAGAAGACATCAGACCTTGATATGGATACGGTGACAAAATAAACTCAGCAAAAGGTATCCTAAACTTAACAAAGAGTCCCCTAAATTTAGGCTAGATTTACCTAAATATCTTCATCACTTAGGGTCAAGGTCCCGAGTTTTCTTGCTCCTTGAAGCGCGTCAATTTGACCAATGGTCCCTACTAATCAGCACACGCCTTTCGTAGTTGGTCCGAATTACAGGGTCCAGCACGCCATAACCTCCAGACCCTGCAAGGGCCACGCTCCCCAAGCCACAGCCACACCGACGTCACTCCTCGTTCCACCAAACCATCTTACACGATATCCAGCGATAAGAGACCCAAACAAACAGAACAAACTTTTGTCAACAAAAAAGACTCGCCCGTTGGGGTTGGAGCAACCATGTTGTCAAGGTTTTTCAATCGGGCGTATGCCGCCGCCATGTCATCTCGCGGAGAGTACCAACCCCTCCCAAACAACGATGAACCGGAAAACAACACCGACACCATGGAGGGACAAGAGGCCAGAGCCGAGAATCATCGCGATGCAGCGGCTATGCTGCTCATCAAAATGGGCCGTTCGCCAGATGAGCAGATCACCATTCCGCCAGCTGACGATGCGCGAATTTTACGGCGTATTGACATTGCGTTACTGCCCCTCATGCTCTCGGTGTACTTCCTCCAAGCCTTGGACAAAGCAACATTATCATATGCCTCAATATTCGGGCTTATCGAAGACACCAACCTTGAAGGCGATCAGTACTCATGGCTCGGAAGTATTGTGTATCTCGCGCAATTAATAATGCAACCGCCTCTCGCACTCGCATTGGTCAAGTTACCCATCGGAAAACTCACGAGCGCCATGGTTCTGGCCTGGGGAGTCACGCTCGTTCTCATGACTTGGGCGAGTAATTTCAAGACATTGATGGTTGCGAGGTTCTTTCTGGGTGCGTTTGAGGCTAGTATTGGGCCGAGTTTTATTGCGATCACGCAGATGTGGTGGAGGAGAAGGTATGTTTGATGAGTGATGGTGTGAGATGGTACTGATGGTTTGAAGAGAGCAGACTCTGCGGATTGGATCGTGGTACTGCATGAATGGGTTGACGTGGGTGGTGAGTACGATGTTCTTGATTGATGGTCTGAGCTAATATTTGACAGCTTGGGAGTCTCATTACTTATGGACTTGCACGTATTGATTCCAAGATGAAGCCCTATCAGGTACATCCCACTGCCTCTGTTACACATCTCTAGACTAACACCAATAGATCATCTTCCTCTTCTTTGGCGCAATCACAGTCGGAGTCTCCTTCGTCATGTTCTTCTGGATGCCCGACTCACCCACCGAAGCCAAGTTTCTCACCGATGAAGACAAGATCATAGCAATCGAGCGTCTTCGCAACAACCAAATGGGCGTCATGTCTCGCGAATGGAGGATGTCCCATGTCGTTGAGACTTTAAAAGACCTCAAGACATGGTGCTGGGTTGCCATGATCTTTTGCATCTCCGTACCTTCAAATGGTATCTCGACTTTCGGGCCTCTTATCATCAAATCGTTCGTGTCGGATCCGTTTGAGACGATGTTGTTCAATGTACCTGTTGGGGTTTCGCACATCATCGCTGTGTCGGCGAGTGCTTATATCGCCATGAAGTGGAAGCTCAAGGGCCCGGTTATTGTTATGCTGTGTATACCTCCCATCGTTGGATGTGCCATTATGTTACACTTTGAGCATAATCTTGAGAACAAAGGGGTTTTGCTGGCGGGCTATTTCTGTCTGTGCACATACACTGGTATCAGTAAGTATTCTCTCATCTCTTATCACACTTCATCTAACAGTATTCAGCACCCTTGATCTACTCATGGTCATCACAAAACACAGCGGGCGACACAAAGCGCAAGTCCACATCAGCACTCATCTTCATCAGCGCCTCAGCTGGCAACATCGTCGGTCCTCTCCTCTACTCCCCAGACGAAGCACCAGCCTATACCCGCGGTCTTCGGTCCAACCTCGCACTCTACATCGTCGTCATCGCTCTCGTGGTACTCACCTCTCTGCACCTCGCTCGATTGAACCGCCTTCACAGCCAACGCCGAGTCGCGCTCGGGAAAAGCGCTGTGCTGGTGGACCGGAGTCTGGAGACGGCGGAAGAGGCAGAGAGAATAGAGCACATGGAGAGATCATTGCGTGGAAGGGTGCTGCGTGAAGCAGAAGAGGGCGAGGATGGTAGGGTTGCCGAGGCGGGAGATTTGGAAGGGGACAGGACGGATCGGAAGGATGAAGATAAAGGCTTTGGTGATATCACAGATTTGGAGAACGAGGATTTCTTGTTTGTGTTTTGATACCCTGGCACAGGAATTTTCAATGAGGTTACGACTGTTCACATAGAGGCACAAAGATTCAGCATCACTACTTACGTCTTTCTTTGACAATTCAAATTTGAGCTATTCAAAGACTGGTCCGCCAAGCTGCCAATGCCGTTCAGTCCCGTCGTCTGGTGCGTTGTCTAGCTCATGCAGCCACCCCAGCTGCCCAGATTTCAGGACGCAAAAAGGATGGGGAAGCTGAGGAGGTGTATTAAAAATAAACTGTCAGACTTACCCGCATCTTGGCCTACAATTGCCGGATTATTTCTGTCGCTTGGTGTCGAATTCTTACCTCTAGCCAGGTACACCGCAGCATTGCCACGATCTAGCACCGCCACTCTTGGCCGCAAACCAAGTCAAGCCGCAGATGACGACGCAAAAACATGAATTGGAAGTTGGACATGAAGAGCTGAAACTGGTCAGTGAATTGCTGAGTAAGAGGCTTGGATGCCTCCGCGTTTCTTATATCTGACTATTTGTTTGCTACATCCTCGAAACCTCATCAATTCACTTCGCTATTCACTTGTTCCTTGAAGCTGAAGTGATTCCCCACCGTCAGCCCCTCTAGTGCCCCTCCATCATCACGGATATTCCACAGAGACAACGAGTTGGGCATTGTACCTGGTCAAGTGTCCTTCTTATAGCCTCCGTTCTCACTGCCTTGATCGCAGTATTTTTATCAAATACTTTTACGTCTATTACTTTAGTCAAAATGGGTGGTGGTCCTGAAGGTTTCCGCACCGTCGCTTACTTTGTCAACTGGTATAAAACTACCCTGCACCAAGACATTGAACTCAGCTAATGAGAACAGGGCCATTTATGCCCGACAGCATCGTCCTCAAGATCTCCCCGTAGAGAACCTCACACACGTTCTCTATTCATTCGCTAATGTCCGAAGCGACTCTGGCGAAGTGTAACTCACCCCCAACTATCATCTCAATGTAGCCCCGCTGACATGATCAGCCATCTCACCGACTCATGGGCCGATACCGACATTCACTGGGACGGCGACTCCTGGAATGACCAAGGCACCAATTTATATGGCTGCATGAAGCAGCTGAACCTCCTCAAGCGCCGCAACCGCAACCTCAAGATTCTTCTCAGTGTTGGAGGATGGACCTACAGCAGCAACTTCAAGGCTCCTGCCAGCACACCCGAAGGACGCGATACCTTCGCCAAGAGCTGCGTTGACCTTATCAAGAACCTCGGATTTGACGGTATCGACATTGATTGGGAGTATCCTCAGAATGCAGATGAGGCCAGAGATTATGTTGAGCTGCTAGGTGCCGTTCGACGTGAGATGGACGCTTATGCCCAGACTTTGAGTCAGCCTTATCATTTTGAACTGACCGTTGCTTGCCCCGCTGGTGCGACAAACTTCCAGAAACTTGATATTCGTGGAATGGATCGATATCTTGATTTCTGGAATCTGATGGCCTACGATTATGCTGGATCTTGGGACTCTGTTGCTGGCCACCAGGCCAATCTGTACCCATCTCCCGACAACCCCCAATCAACCCCCTTCTCTACATCCGCCGCCATAGACTTCTACGTGCGTAGCGGCGTATCCCCCGGGAAGATCGTTCTTGGTATGCCCCTCTACGGTCGAGCTTTCCAGAACACCGACGGCCCAGGCCGACCCTACCAGGGCACCGGTGAAGGAACCTGGGAGGCTGGTGTCCATGACTACAAGAAACTTCCCCTCGAGGGCGCTACAGAGTATGGGGACAGAGGGTGCTGTGCAAGCTACTGCTACAACCCCCAGACACGAACCATGGTCACATACGACACGCCGCGAGTTGCCTGGGACAAGGCCGAGTATGTCAAGAAGTGGAAGCTCGGCGGTGCAATGTGGTGGGAGAGCAGTGCGGACAAGACTGGCGATCAGAGCTTGATCACGACTGTTGTGAATGGGTTTGGTGGACAAGGTGCGCTCATGAGGCAAGATAACTGCATTGAGTATCCTGCGACCAAGTATGATAACTTGCGAAATGGATTCCCGAACAATTGAGGCGAAGTGGACTTGGTGGGTCAAGAAGTAAGATGAGCGTTGATGTTGACTGAACGCTCACTTACATGAAGCAACATAACATAAGTAAATGAACAGTATGAATAAATCACGGCCTCTGAAAGAATCGATAAAATCCAATATTGAGTTCCCGAATATTTGCATGCCTCATCTCATAATGCCTCATCAATCGATGCTGGACAGATCATCCACGTGACCAATCACTAGCCACACCAGCCTCAGCTGGTCCGTGCGCAAGCTGCCAGAAAATTTCCACCTGGAAAAAAAGTGTGAAAATCTTAAGCCTCGAGCCATCACCAAACCCATTCGACGCGGAATCATTCCCAATTGCGGCACCGGCAGGGAACGACAAGATGTCGCACATCGACTACGCTCTATACGAATCCCCCGTGGGCTATGCCCTCTTCAAGGTGGTGCATCAGCAGGATGCGGTGGGCCTGAAATTGAAGGAGACTCAGGCCGCCGTCAACGACCTCGCCAAGTTCGGCAAGATGGTCAAGCTGGCCAACTTCAGCCCTTTCAGGTATTTCAATCTCGGACGTGCGATGCCGATGGATGCGCGATAACTGACACTTCAAAAAAGGGGCCACGTCGAGGCTCTTGAGAACATTAACCTCGTCACTGAGGGTATCGTCTCGGACTACCTCAAGTCTGTCCTCGAACTCAACCTCCCCCAGACAAGCGGCAAGAAGACCAAGGTTGTCCTTGGTGTTTCCGAGAAGAACCTTGCTGGCGCGATCAAGGGCCTCTTCCCCGGCCTCGAGTGCGAGACTGCCGATACCTCTGACATTGTCGGCGATGTTATTCGCGGTATCCGACTCCACGCCGACAAGCTTCTCGGCGGACTCAAGTACGGCGATGTTGAGAAGGCCGGTCTGGGTATGGGTCACGCCTACTCCCGTGCCAAGGTCAAGTTCAGCGTCACCCGCAACGACAACCACATCATCCAGGCTAGCGCGACCATCGACTTCCAGGACAAGGGCGTCAACCAGTTCTTCATGCGCGTTCGCGAGTGGTACGGATGGCACTTCCCTGAGCTGGTCAAGATTGTCTCCGACAACTACACCTACTGCAAGCTTGTTCTGGCCATTGGCGACAAGAAGAGCTTGAACGATGATAAGCTCCACGACATTGCCGCTCTCGTTGGTGAGGATGGTGAGAAGGCTCAGGCCATCATTGACGCCGCCAAGGTCTCCATGGGTCTCGACATCTCTCCTGCTGACCTCGAGATTGTCCACGGCTTCGCTGAGGCTGTTGTCAAGCAGGCCGACAACCGCAAGTCCACCTCCGCCTACCTCGAGAAGAAGATGTCCGACATCGCCCCCAACCTGCAGACTCTCATTGGCACTCCCGTTGCCGCCCGCCTCATCTCTCACGCTGGTTCTCTGACCAACCTCTCCAAGTACCCTGCCTCTACTCTCCAGATTCTCGGTGCCGAGAAGGCTCTTTTCCGTGCTCTCAAGACCAAGAGCAACACCCCCAAGTACGGTCTCATCTACCACAGCAGCTTCATTGGCAAGGCTGGTCCCAAGAACAAGGGTCGCATCTCTCGATACCTCGCCAACAAGTGTAGTATGGCCAGTCGTATCGACAACTTCTCCGAGGAGCCCTCAACCCGCTTTGGTGAGGCTCTCAAGCAGCAAGTCGAGGACCGATTAGAGTTCTACGCCACTGGCAAGAAGCCCGCCAAGAACACCGATGTCATGGTATGTGAACTCGAATCGCAATGACTGATCGATGCTAACTATTTTATTTACAGAAGGGTGTTATGGACCTACTTGATGACGGTGATAATGCTGGCTCCGACGAGGAGATGGCTGACGCTCCTGAGCCTGAGACTAAGAAGTCCAAGAAAGACAAGAAGGAGAAGAAGGAAAAGAAAGAGAAGAAGGACAAGAAGGAGAAGCGAAAGAGGGATGAGGAGGATGCCGAGCCCGCGAAGGAAGACGGCGAGAAGAAAAAGAAGAAGAAGAGAAAGTCCAAGGCTGCGGATGACGAGTAGTGCTCTTCCTATTGTTTGAGAGCGTCTGGTTTATGCTGTCGCCCCCGACAGAGCGTTCCAGGAACACGGATAATGGGAGATGCATCTTCAGTCACGATAGACGTTGCGCAAGGGTAAGTCGGACTCTGGTTCAACGTCTCCCGCCCCAGCAAAACCTCCTCGCGCGGAGTCTCACACGGCTCGCTCCAACAGAAGCGCCGCCCTCTCTTCGGATGGCGAAAAGCGATGGATGGTGCGGGAGACCTTTGCTTCCGGGGCCCTTGCGCAACTGTTTGAGGAGTTTTTGTAGGATCTTGATCTCTGGCTTATGGCTTTTGGGCGTTTGAGGGCATTTGGCTTTGATTGTAAAAGACTGTTTTTCACTACGAGGGAAAACTCATACCCTTTGTTTACAAAAACATGCAAATTCACTGAAGACTACATTTGTCGTGATTGGGAGTGTGAATGAAGGACATGGACAGTTGTGTGTGTATGCTATCGTGGTGTTGATGAAGACATCATGGTCGGTGGTGCACAAAAGAAACAGACCGAATAGAGCAACCAAATGAAGGACATTCATTGTAACGACCGTATGTTACCCAAGGCCTTCTGCTGTGCTCTCCACTCATCCTTGTCGGATCGCTTGGTGTTGAGGACATGCCCCACCAGGGCAAACGAGGCTCTGGCGAGATGAAAATTTCACCAGTGGACACCAGGAAATTCATGCGAGGCTGCGAAATTCGACTGATAAGGACTGATATGAATGAGCGACTACAAGGGCCTTGGTAATATTGGAACAAGTTTGGGGTGTTGTAGCGCAGGTCAACGGCAGCGCACAAAGGGCATCCCAGACGGCGAATTCTGGTGAAGGTTAAGTGGCAAATCACCATAACAAGCAGACAAATATGGTCACAAACAAGCAAAGTCACTGGGGAGAACAGGTTGTGTGATTTAACAAGTTTGTCGTCTCAATCAAGCATGCATTATCTCAGAAACCGGATGTGCTTTATGCTACAAAAGCCCGTCAACGCCCATTTTTGGCACCCAATCCGATCCGTCATCAATTCCCAATTCAAGTCCCTTGGTCATGCATTTATTGCTTGTCGAAAACGTAGGTAAGGTGGCAGCGACCACAGTACTGGCGGTCCTGCATGGCAGCCATGAAGACACCAGCGCCGCACTAAAGAGTCAGTCAGTTTTCAGTCCATGCCAATCATGGATGCAGGGAAACTTACGGTGTCGGCAGGGCACTCGCGTCGAAGTCGCTCGATCTTGCCGTCAGAGTCGACCTTGTAGTACTTGAGGACAGCCAGCTTGGTCTTCTTGCGCTTGTGCTTGATCTTCTTGGGGGTGGTGTAGACCTTCTTCTTGCGCTTCTTGGCCATACCACCACGGAGGCGGAGGACCAGGTGGAGGGTGGACTCCTTCTGGATGTTGTAGTCGCTCAGGGTGCGGCCATCCTCGAGCTGCTTGCCAGCAAAGATGAGTCGCTGCTGGTCAGGGGGGATGCCCTCCTTGTCCTGGATCTTGGACTTGACGTTGTCGATGGTGTCGGAAGACTCCACCTCAAGGGTGATCGTCTTCCCTGTGAGGGTCTTGACGAAAATCTGCATCTTGCCTAACTGAGACGGTTAGAATCGAGGTTCCGAAGTGTGAAGCATGTTCCCGGCTGCGTCGGGCGGAGAGTTGTCTCGGTTTTTTTTTTGTGCGACGACTCTAGTCTTTCTTCGAAAATGAACGAAAAAGAAGGCTCAAAGTCGATAAAAAGCGTCGAGTGTGCGCGCAGAGAATTGCGATTCGATATAACAAAAGAGCAATCCTCAAGTGAGACGCAATGAAGCCCTCACAGAGACGGGTATTTGCAGCATCTTTCAGACGTACCTCGACAATAAGAACTATTGCCTTCCTAAGCAATCCTCAGATGGTGCGAATTGGGGTTGAAGAAGATCGACTTTTGGTGGAGGGCAGCGCCCGTTCAGAAATTACAACCAGTCCATCCGGTGGAGTCTGGTCACATGATTCAGGGTTTTCACTTTTTGGTGCGGTGGATCCGCTGACCTCAGCCGTCTCTGCAGGCCATTCTGTTAGATTTGCCCTACTGCCCACCAAACCAGCCCGAAAAAGTGGACTGGCCCTCTCAACGTCAATCGACTAAACGCACATTTCAAGAGCGCCTCTTCTTCTTCTTTTCCTTTCCTCTTCACTTGCGTGGACCTGAATATTTACATCAGCAGCAACCGTCAAAATGGTCAAGAAGAGAAAGAACAAGTACGACATTCCCCTCCCTCCGCCTGCAATCGCATCGCACACCATCATCGCCGACGCAGACGAATCAACACCTACTGCCGCGATGATGCTCGACAAACGATTGAACGGCTCGACCTTCACACTTTGAACAAGATGCTAACAAGCTTTTTGTAGCGGCCGAAACAAGAAGGGCCGTGGCCACGTCAAGCCCATCCGATGCAGCAACTGCTCGCGATGCACCCCCAAGGACAAGGCGATCAAGAGATTCACCATCCGCAACATGGTTGAGTCTGCTGCTATTCGTACGTCTTTCTTGACTCCCTCGCTCCGCTCGATCACGTTCGCTTACATTTAATTTACAGGTGACATCTCGGATGCCTCCGTCTTCGCGGAGTACACCGTGCCCAAGATGTACCTGAAGCTGCAGTACTGCGTCTCTTGCGCCATTCACGGCAAGATTGTCCGGTACGTTGTCCTCCCCGGGAGTGTGACAACTGCGCCCTGGTTGCGTATGTGCTTCAGATGAGCCTTGGAGTACTTTTTTGAAAACCATACACACTCCCAGTCTGCTGCGCAGTTGATGCCCACACTCCCAGTACGTCTCTGCCCCGAACCCTTGAAGCTGACCATGATATTACAGTGTCCGATCCGTCGTTGGCCGACGCAACCGTGCCCCTCCCCCTCGCGTCCGCTACAACAAGGACGGCAAGAAGATCGTCCCTACTGCCCCTAAGGCTTAAATGGGTTGATATGGCTTGTCTTGGGATGGAGTCCGGTTATGATAGCATCATTCAAAAAATAACGGATGGGATGAATACCTTTGGGATTATGAGTCTAAGAGATTCCAAAATTCAATCGGACGACGTTTGATGTCCACACGTCATTGACGAACATCTGCTTGTTCCTTTTTTTACTGTGTGTGTGATTGCTGTGGCTGTTCAGTCTTAATGTTGAATGTATGTGACCGAGTGTCACATCGCTTCAATCACCTGTTGTAGATGTGCGTCGAAGTGATCTCACTGTGTAGTCTGTTGCCAGGTCCACATCGCCGAGGAACACTCAATTGGCTGTGGCTTTTGATGTCATTTATTGCTTTGAAGGGATCTGGGATCAGGTCTAAAGCAGTCTGCTCTTGTGCTTGAATTTTGATGTCAATGTGCTGTGATTGATGTGCTGGTAGTTTATCGTGGCGAGCTTCGTGAACCAACATGAGGTCAATCCACTGCGCATCGTAAGTTGAATGTTGAAAGTTAATCGACACATTAAATAAATTCCTCAAACAAGTCGACGATGTCTAGATAAAATTATTCAACGAATTACTCCTCTGCGTTGCTGATTGCTCTGTCAATAATATACACCCAATCTACCCTAAAACCCTCCATCAAACTGCTGCACCAAATCCGTCCCATTCTCCGAACAAGCAAACGCATCAACACAAACACCCCCACCACAACAACTTCCCGTCAGGCACAAATACCCATCCCCACAATCACCATCAGCTTCGCAGCTCCCCTTGTAATTCGTACACTCCGTCCACTCAAACGCAATCCCTACACCCGCCGCACTCTTACCGCAGACGCACCCTGTGCCGGGGATGATGGCGTTGCGGGGATACGAACACGTAGCGCCTTCTCCCTCTGCAACTGCGCTGTTGGGACAGCAGGCGATGCGTGATGAGTCTTGGACTGTGATGTTGTAGGGTTTTGTTGTCTCGGGGGCCCAGTTGAGGGTTGTTATGGCGGGTATGCTTGTTGCGCCGGCGATGAGGGTTAGGTTGAGGGGGATTTCGCCTTCGTGAAGGGATTGGCAGATGTCGTTTTCGAAACTGCGGTGGGTGTTGTATACGTCGATGTAATCTTCCAACGCACCCTGTGAAGTCTCTGTGTTCTTGGTGAATATTGCACCAAGAGCCTGCCATAGTTGGGTGTACGCGACCACAGCGGCATCAGCCTCTTGCTTGGCTCTGTCGCGGGTCAGACCTTGATTGGCAAGGTCTTTGCGAAGCTGTTCAGGGTCAATGATGTCTTGTCCTGATTCTTCAAGCGTGGTGACGACAGTGGACAAGTCTGGACATGCACCGCCGAATGGATCTGTGCTGATGAAGTCGACGACCTTATTCTTGATAGCCGACTGACATCTCAATGATCCAGACTCAGATCCCGGGAACGTACACTCAAAGTCCCAGCGACCAGTTTCATCATCAACAGCGACATCTGCACAGACTGTGTCGCCTACAAGAAGCTGAGGATACTGCCTGACCGACCTGTCAACGGGGTTCCCACATTGGTCATGCAGGTACAGAACCTGACTGAAGTCCAAGTCTTCGGCGCGCTTGCGTTTGAGTGCAGCACATTGTACACCCGCCAAGTCGGCAATCTGCTCGTACATATCGTCAATCGAGATCGATATGTCGTACGTGCAGTTGCTCCCCGAGAAGTGAATCCCCTCAGCATCAAGCGTGACCAGGTACCCATTAGGATCAGCGACCGAAAGCCTGCCCCGATGAGAAATGTCGACATAGTAGATCCCGCCTTGTTCATCACGAACAGTGAGATACAGCGGATTAATGCCATCTTTCTCAAACTCAACAGACTCGATATACGGAGTGGGGATTGAGACGTTATCTTCTCGAAGTCTGGAGTTGTACAGTAACGCTCGACGAGTCGAATCACCGTCTGGGTTGGGGAGTGTGTAGCATGTTTCTTGCGAGATGGCTGCGGTGCGTGTAACATGGGTGAAGTTGGCGGCAGGGAACTCCGGGACGCCAGTTGTTGTTGCGTTACTACTTGGTGACGCGGAACCGTTGGAGGCGCCAGACGTTGAAGTTGCAGCCACAGGCCTCGAGAAGGATGTAACGGTTTCAGTACTCCCAGGCCCAGAGCCCGTCGTCTCACGGCTCGGAACAGCACTTTCGCTAGCAACAGTACTGGTAACCTCGGTTGAGACTGTTGGAAAGGGCAAAGTTGGGATTGCAGAGGCTGGTACACTGATGGTTGGGAGGGAGACAATGCCTGAAATGGACGACGTGATGTTCCACCCAACATCACCACTCTGAGAACTGGTAGAAGCTTCTGACTCCATCGGAAGAGTCACAACTGAACCAGCCCCAGAGGAGCTGACAGTTGCAACAGAACCAGAGCCTTCAGATCCCCAAGTTGTTGTGTTCCAACCAGACACCAAAGTCTCACTTCGGGCCGACCCTGACGTTACTTGAGAAACGGTCGGCAAAGATGCACTTGGGAACGGAACCAGAGACGACGTCCCAATGTGCGATGCACTGATCGTCGGTACGGAGACATTGCCTCCAGGTGCAGAAGTGGTACCATTCCAGCTCGGAATTGCGCTGCTACTTGGCACTGAGGTTGTCTCAATCCTAGATTCAGTCGTGATCGACTCACTTGGCAGCGGCAGCGTCGGAAAGGGTAATGTTCCACCCCGAGTTATACTGATTGACGGTATAGTGAAGCTAACCCCAGGTACAGTAGTACTGTTCTGATTTGGGAACTGATTTCCACTTGTCTCTAGGCCTGTTGTGAGAGTATCGCTTGGGAATGGCTGAGTTGGAAATGGGACAAAGGTTTGCGACGGGGATATACGGATGGTTGGTATTGTCATGTTGCCGCCAGATGGTAAAGCAGTGTTATTCCAGCTTGGCGAGATACTGCTGCCTGATGCTGCTTCGGCTGACGAGAATTGACTGGGTAGTGATACCGTCGGGAATGGTATGAAGGACTCGCTGGATGTACTGACGGTTGGGACTGAGGTATTGCCACCAGGAGTTAGAGACGTGGCGTTCCAGCTCGGAGAGAAACTACTCTTTGATGCTGCTCCCTCCGAGGATGATGAACCTGGAAGTGATGCTGTGGGGAACGGGACAAATGATCCGCTGGAGGTGCTGGCAGTCGGTATCGAGGTATTACCGCCTGGAGGCAGAGAAGTGGCGTTCCAACTTGGAGACAAACTGCTCCCTGTTGTAGCCTCTACTGAGGATGAGAGACTCGGTAATGATACCGACGGGAATGGCACAAACGAGTCACTCGATGTGCCTGCAGTTGGTACCGATATGTTACCACCTGATGGAAGGGAAGTACTGTTCCAACTTGGGCCCAAGCTAATACCCGAAGTGATATCTGCTGAAGAGGGTCGCGCTGAAGTCGAAGCACTGATAGTCGTTAACGAGGTGTTACCACCCGAAAGAGATGTACTGTTCCAGCTCGGACCGACACTGCTCTCTGAAGTGAACTCCCCTGAAGACGTTGGAAAAGGCACCAAGGTTCCGCTAGAAGCACTAGTCACCGGTACCGACGTATTTGCCCCAGGAGGAAGAGAAGTGCTATTCCAGCTGGGACCAAAGCTACTCTCCGAGCTTGCTTGGCTTGATAGCGATAATGTTGGAAACGGAACGAATGTGCCACTCGAGATACTAACTGTCGGTACAGAGCCATTCCCCCTCGACGTGGTACCATTCCAGCCTACACTCCCACTTGATGAACCACCAGAGCTTGTGGACACCGAGGCTGTTGGGAACGGTACGAACGTCCCACTGGAGATACTAATCGTGGGTACTGAGCCATTGCTCATCGAGACGGAGGTAGTTCCATTCCAGCTTGGCCCTGTTGTGCCACTAGACGAGGCCCTAGACGCTGTAGGGAAGGGCACGAAAGTTCCGCTGGAGATGCTGACTGTAGGAACTGAGCCATTGCCTCTCGAAGCAGACGTGGTGTTCCAACTTGGAGCCACGCTACCAATCGACGAACTCCCAGAACTAATGATGTCCGATCCCGTAGGAAACGGTACAAAACTTCCACTTGAGAGACTGACAGTAGGAATCGAATCATTCCCTGTTGGAGCTGAAGTCGTGTTCCAAGCTGGCCCTACCCTCCCACCAGTCGTGCCAGAACCAGTGGTCACCGACACACCTGGAACCGACATAGTAGGGATAGGTACGAAAAACCCTGTCCCAGAAACACCACTGCTCGGGGCAGTAATACTCGAGTTCCACCCGGTCAAAGTCCCCGTCAGACGTGTCCTACTCTCCACAGGACTCGACGTCAAGTTACCGGGAACCGACCACTGTAGCGAATCGCTTGTAGCGCCAGATCTCGTCATTCCAGATGAATGGGTAGATGCCCGTGATGTTACATCCGAGAGACTTTGGGTGCTGTTGCCAGACTGAGAATGAGATGAAGTATGGCTCGAGAAGGATGCTGAGAAGGGACCTTGAGTATCCGCTGGTGACTCTGTGGTGGTGTTCCATGACGCTGCTGAATCTGATCTTGTGAAGCTCTCGCTGGCTGTTCCTGTAGTTGGACTGCTGTTGGTGTACGATGTCCTTGGAGTATCCCCGGTCGTCTCTCCACCAGACGCTGCAGTCTGATTCCACGACCCTTCAGTGGTCGAATACACTCCTTTAGTCGTCTCAGCATACGTCCCCGATCCAGACTGTCCCACCGACGCCTCCGTCGAATCCGAGTACCCCATCGTCCTGGACTCCGTAGTGCTAGAATACGCGCTAGTCACAATACACTCACACTGCAACTCATAAGTAATCATCCAAACTCATCACGAACCACTCACATATGAAGCTATCCTCGTCTGATTATACCTCACATACTCCACAGGGGTACTATATCCCGCACCGCAATGATTCCCCTCAAGAACACTCGAGCAAAACTCGCCATCATCTTGAATGAGCGATGAGTAAAGACCATCATGAGGACAAGCGATCGATTCGTTCCAGTTTGCAGGAAAAGCAGTGACCAAGCGAACAACGAGGGGGAGTAACATCAACATGATGCGTAAACGAGTGTATAGCGATGAACGAGAATAGCTAAAGCTTGGCTTGATTGCAGGCGTTACTTATAGGACGTACAGCAGCCATATCCTAATGTCGAGGCCGCCCACGTATAATCTGCCGAGACACAACATCGTGACGTGCAAGACACGCATACAGAGCCGAGAAAGACCGGCACTTGGTGCGTGGTACGGCATCGACGGCTGCGAGATCGAAGGGGCGGGTGTCTGCAGGGGTTCGCTTGGGGATCCTTAATGTCCCAGGTCTTCAGGTCTCGACGCGCTCGGTGACACAGGAGTTGGTTCCTGGATCGTGGGACGCGAGTGTGATACGAGGGGAGGACGGGGTTCAGTTTGAGTCTTTCTCACGGTGTATTGGGAGATGGCAAAGGGAAGATGAGTGAGAGTGACGTGGCATGTGAATGTTAGCTGGACACAGCGGGATTGGATGAGGTTCTGTATCGGTGAGTCGAGGAGAGGTCAAAGATAAAGGATATCAGCAAACACCAAACATTGGATATATCATAAATCTAGCCTCCATATCATTAAAATAACCGCCAAAGCCATATCCATAGTCATCATCATCGTCATATACAAGCCCTCTCACCCCTTACCGAAAGGGCAGTATCGTCGTATTACCCCCAACCTGCGTGCGCTGCTGCGACGAGTGTCCCGGCGGTCTCGCGATGTAGTCCTTGTTCTCAATAGTGACACTCTTGGTCATATGATTGACCTTGTACACGCCCACCAACCGCGCCGCAAGCTCAAACATGTTGTTGCGCAGCGAAATGACGATGAACTGGGCGTTCTTGGTACGCTCCTTGATGTAGTTTGCGACGATCGAGACCTGCGCTGAGTGTTAGCATGGTGGTTCAATCAGAATTGATAACAATTCGCATATGGAATGCCCACGCGAGTGTGGTCGAATTGTAGCCGAGTGTCTTGGGTTAGGGTAGTACTCACGTTTCTGAAATCCAGCGCAGCATCGATCTCGTCCATGACATACAGAGGGGTAGGCTTGTAGTGGTGCAGAGCGAAGACGAGGGCCAGACTGCTGAGTGTCTTTTCACCACCGGAAAGGTTGCTGATGTTCTTCCAGCTCTTCTTGGGTGGCATGACGCTGAAGAGGATACCTTCGCTGAAGGGATCTAAGCTGTCGACGAGCTCGAGCTCTGCGTTGCCGCCCATGGTGATCATCTGATACATTTCCTTGAGTCGGAGGGAAATGGCGCTGAAACCTTCCATGAAACCTTCCAAACGTAGACGGCGTAGGTCGTCGCATCGCTTCTTGGCAGAATCTCGCTGTTCAATGGCAGTTTGGAGATCTGAGGCACGAGCAGCATGCTCTTCCACTCGTCTGCGGTATTCAGCGAGGACACCAAGGTCGACGTTGACATTTTGTGTCTTCTCCTCGAGAGCTGCAATCTCGCCCTTGAGTGTCCTCTCATTCATGTCAGCGAGCTCGTCGGGTGTGTATCTCGGAAGCTCGTTTGGCTGCCCATTGGCAGATTCCTCCTCATCCTCATCCTCTTCTTGGTCCTCTTGTTCTTCCTCTTCTTGGGGAGCGTCGGTCATGTCCACATCGTCCTGAGGAGCATCGTCCATGTCGACGTCATCATCGTCATCCGTCTGAGGCTTGGGTTGCGGCTTGGGTCTCTTGAAGCGGCTGCCCGATGAGCCTCCCGTAAGGTCGTCAATGTTCTGCAGAACAATCTTCGACAGCTTATCGTCCCAGTGGCGAAGTCGTGCTTGGTTCTCAAGAAGAGCCTTCTGGTTCTCCTCCAGCTTGTTGCGCATCTCAATCTCAACCGCTCTTGTCTCGTTGAGCTCAGCCGTCTTCTCGTCAAGCTCGCTCTTGAGCGCCTTAAGCTCCTTCTTCTTAGCGGCCAATCCTTCTTCAGCCTCCTCAACTTGTGCCTGAAGCTCTTCAGCTCTCTCGCCCTGGTTGTTGATGTCGTTCTCAAGCTTCTCAAGATCCCGAGTAGCAGCCTCAAGCTCTTTGGACGATTTCGCATGATCCTTCGCCAGCTTGATCTTCTGCTTCTCAGCCTTGACCTTGCGGACCTCAGCATTAGAGATTTCCTCGTTGTTGGAGGAGATCTCCCCCTTGATAGAGTCGACCTTGGCCCTTTGCGCACGAAGCTTCTCACCACCAACTTCCATGATCTTGTCTTGCAGAGCCTTGATCTCATCCTCCACGCTGGATGTCTCTTCGTGAAGTCTTTCAGTCTCCTTGTTGAGCTTTGCGATCTCCTTCTGCAGAGCAGCGATGCGACTGTTGTCGGAGGCCGAGGGCTGGTGCTCCTTGCTGACTTCCTTCATGCGTCGTTGCATGTCGGCGATGTTTCGCTCGGCGCTCTGTATCTCAAGATTAATCTTCTGCATCTTGGTTTCTAGCTGAGGAATCAGCTCGCCCAACTCCCTGAGTCGTGTCTCGCACTCGCGTTGATAATCTTGGAAATCTTTGAACTGCTGCTCCCAGCCATCGCGATCACTCTCAAACTTGGCGACCTGCTCCTTGCTGACGTCTGAGACGAGCTTGGAAGACATGAGACCTCTCTTGACAGTCGAGCCACCACCAGACATGGTACCGGACTTGTCAATGAGTTCACCATCGAGAGTGACAACTCGCCATCGCTTGGCGCCATATGCGATTCTGTTCGCCTGGGCGAGGTCGGCAGCGACAAGAGTATCTTGCATGGCGTGGTAGAAAGCAGCTCGAAACTTGTCTTCCTTGGCCGTGACGAGGTCAAACAATCGGGGAGCGTTCTCGGGTGTCTGGATGGGCGACATGTCTCGAACTCTCAGCTTATCCAAACAGATAAAGTTACCGCGTCCGACGTTGTTCTTTCGCAGATACTCGATACACTGCTGACCAGCCTCGACAGTCTCAGTGACGAAGTTGTCGAGGGCACCACAAGCTGTTGAGATTGCGACATCGTACTTCTGATCAATCGTACCAAGGTTACCGAGACGTCCATGGAAGCCATCGATTCGACCAGACTCCTTCATGCGCATCAAGGCAGCAAGCACGTTACCCCGCGCCTGTGTGTTAGACAAGCTTGAGCGGGCCTCGTCAGCCTTTTGGCGCGCATTCGAGATCTTGGAGCGAATCTTGGGCTCCTGCTCAGACAGGACCTTGAGCTCTGACCTCATTTTCTCTGCCTCCTCCAGAAGCTTAGCCCTCTCGGTCTGGCAGGACTTGAGCTCGGCGCGCTTGGCAGTCTTGCCCTCCTCAATCGAAGCGATTTTGGTCTCAAGGTCTTGAAGAGCGACAGCGCCGGCGTTGGCCTTTTCTTGAAGGATGTTGAGCTCACTCTCAGCGACAGCGACAGCGGACTGCTTCTGGTTGATCTTCTCATTCCAAGGTTCAAGAGACTTCTGCTTGGCGGCAATCTGATCAGAGAAAGCTTGTGTCTTGCCCTTAAGACTCTCTCTAATTCGAGTAAGCTCAGCCTCTGCAGTCTGGATCTGTTCCTCCAGCTCTGCGATCTCCTGGGTGCGGTTCTCGATCTCCTCTCCACACTGCTCGATGGTCTCGTCGGCTTCGGCGGAGTTCGTTTCGGCGTTGACAATAGATTTCTCAAGCTTCTTACGCTTGTCGTCCAAGAACTTTCGCTTCTCGTCGAACTTGACACGCTCCTGCTCAAACTTGGCCATCTCCTTGACCAAAGCTTGTGTTGACTTCTCTTGTGCTTCAAACTCCTTGGCACCCTTGGCGTAGTCCTTCTCGAGGCTCTTGATGATCTGTTCGCCTCCATGGTGCTTCTCCAGCTCGGCGTCTAATTGAGCTTGCATCTGGCTGATGGCCTCCTCTGTAACAGCAATATTCTCATTGCACTTGTGAGTAAACAATTGGTAGAGAGCAGATTGCTTCATCGCCAGCTCGTTCTCGTCGCGAATATAGGCGATCGCCTTGTCCTTCTTGTCTTCAAGGCTGTTCTTTTCCTTCTCGACGTGCTGAACGCGACCGCTCTTTTCCATGCAGACATCATTGAGGGTCTCTACCTCGGTGGCGGATTCTTCGATGGGCGCCTTGTACTTGGACGTACCGATAATGTCCTCGAGATATTCGAGGAGACCGTCTTCGTGTTCATTGCCAGCCTTGGCCTTCATCTGAGCAATGGACTCGACCTCACCTTGGAGAATCAGGAATCGTTTGTGGTCAAGATCAACGCCCCGATCGCGAAGAAGAGTGGTGACTGTTGTAAAGTTGGATTCTTTGCCATTGATGTAATATTTGCTAGAGTTGTTCTTGAAGGCTTTTCGGGAAATGATGAGCTCGGAGTTAGGGATAACCTCATGGCCGCCACCGGGCTTGGAAAGTTAGTCCAAGGTCGCAAGAGAACAAGGATTTCTTACCTGATCCATGACCTCCTGGAAGTAGACGGCGACCTCGCAATGATCCAAATTCGGAAACTTTGCTGAGTTGTGAATGAGAGCAGAGATCTTGCCCTGTCGCATCTTGCTAGCTCGGAAACCGAAGACGAACAGCAGAGAGTCAATAACATTTGACTTTCCGGAACCGTTGGGTCCGACAACGGATGAGAATGAAGCATGGAAAGGGCCGACTTCTTGCCGGCCTGCGTAACTCTTGAAGTTGTTGAGTATAAGATGCGTCAAAACAATTCGAGACTTGGGCGTTGTGTCTTCAACAACAGGGACAGCTAATGTCCGTGACTTGAGCACAATATCCATTGGCTTCTCCATAATGGTGTCCATAGGTTTGATCGGCTTGATAGTTGCCTGTGTATTGTCGACAACAGAAGTATTCACACTAGAATCAGTGATATCGGCCAGTGCAGAAGCTTCCTGAGAAGCTGTCGGTGAATCTGGCTTCGGTGTAGGGGGGGCCAGGTCGGGAACTGAAGAGATCGATGATCTGGCTGTGCTCTTGCGCTTACGCGGCGACGCAACCTTCGCAGGAGAACTCGCCTCTGCCTTTAGTGTCGTATCGGCATCCAGAAGTTCGCTTGGCTCCGCCGAAGCAGCTGGAGTCGGCGCTTTTCTAGGACGCCCTCTCGCCTTCGGTGCAGCAGCAGGCGCAGGCGCAGGAGTCGTCGATTTGCGTGACCGAGTCTGTCTTCGGGGCGCCGGCTTCTCAGGTTCAAAGTCCTCCTCCTCATCCTGGACTCTAGAGCGGTTGGAAACATCGTCTTCGTCGTCAGAATCGATAATGGCGGTGCGCCTTGTTGCGCGCCTTGGCCGGACAGGGGAAGACATTGTGAAGGAATATCTCTCGTCACAGACAAGAGAAAAATGCGAAGGAGTGTATGCAAACAATGAATAGTACAAATAAGCGACAGCTTGGGTCGGTGTAACCAATGTCGACTGGGTTGTTGTGTCGAGGGAAGCTGTACAAATTAGATTGGTTGCGCCCCGCGTTGGTTTGTTTAGAAATGTCCAAATCGGTCGTGTAAACAATACGTACCAGCACAGGCCGCGGGGCGGCTCTCATCACGTGATCTCGCGACGGAGCCTTGATGGCCCGTTTCGCGATAGCTTTGAAGCTCTTGACGAGCTATCAAAACATTGGTTTGTGTTACGACAACAGTCCAGTATCCCGTCACCGAAATGCTTGACTACACCAACCTGCACGAGGTCTTCGCGGAGGGTCTTGCGAACCCGTATGATCGTGAGACCCAGCGAGACATTGAACACTCGCGCAAGGAATTTGATGGCGCTCTGTTCATTGATCGAGTCCTACGGGCTGTGGGCATAACAAAGGGTATTTTTGTCTCACGAATTGATTTCGATGTGCTAACTCGCGATTGCAGCCAAGATCTACCCTCCCAAGACCGACAATGCGTTGAAGCAGTTGCATCAGCAAATCTGTGAATCCACAATGTCAATGCAGCACAAGTTCTCGATCTTCTACTACATCCTCCTCGATTTCGACGTAACAGCAGGCCGCGAGAGCGCTTCTGATGCATTTGTGGATGCGTCTGGTATGCCCAAGAAATATCAGATCTTCATGAAAGGCTTGTGGTATCTGGATCGTCAGGAATACTCGGTATGTTTTGCGTTGGTGATTGTCAAAACAGAGACTAACAAAACTTTGCAGCGAGCGCTCGAGTACATTTCGCATCCCTCTCTGATTCCCGACTTTGCCGACAACATTATGACCGTGCTCGTCCAGTCTGCTCAGGATGGCGATTACAGCATTGCGCTGTCATACTTTTACACCGTACAGCCCAAATTGAAGACCTCAGCTGCTCTCGAGCTTCTCTTCGGTGCGATGGCGAAAACCAACATCTCGGAAGCGCTGTTCTACTCCCGAACCCGATCTCCCCATACTCGCGAGTTACTCTTTCGGCAATTGATCGCCTCTGTATTGGACAGTCCACACGACGAGCTTTCCGAGCGCGCCAGCCAACTTACCTTTTTGCCCTTTGACAAATCTGAGGAGACTTGGTTCGAGGAGTATCTTCTTCACGGCAATGGAAAGACGCATAAGAAGGCAAAGGATACGCTTGTCATGCGCAAGATTGCGTGCGATCAGTTCTCCGATGTGACCAAGATCCGACATGGCGGGCAATGGTCTGGAATTCTGGAGGGAATCAAGGGTGGAATTAATGGACATGCTGAATAGAGAGCTATTGACATTGGTGTCATGTTCTTGATGGTCATGCATAGCGTAGGCGTTTACTTGGTCATTTTTGTCATTTTAGAACGTTCGAGACTTGGTATAATGATTAGTTCAGCCTCAGCCTGATGATCTGCTCCCGGTGTGAACATGGACATGATGACTTGAAACGTGCCATGATGTATTATTATTGCCCATCATATGAGCGTTTTCAGAAGACAAATTTGCAAGCTTAGCTATTTTCTGGAATGCTGTCGCAGCTCGAGAACGGGAGCTTTAGTCTAGGCTTCACAAACTAAGCTGATAGGACCCCGAGCCTGGAATCAGGGCTCCCAATTATCAGAGTTCGAAAAGATGTTTGTATGACTATCTTTAATAGCACCGTAACTAATTTTAACAAAAAGCCCATATCTATCTTTGCTTCTTCTTCCTCTTCTGTCCTCTGCCATCAGAACTCCGCGTCTCGGAGAATAATGTCTTGGGCCATTCACTAACAAATTTCCCGGGTCCAGAGCCTCTACCGAAGATGGGGCTGAACATCGAGGCGCCACCACCGGGGATGAGCCGGGTTTACGGCTATATCTAGTGAAAACGGAGAAGAAGCAGATCCTCCTCAGGGTCTCGACTGTGGAACTAGATAAGCTCAGTGGAACTCATTGACCTTGAGCTGATCCAAGGAGCATCTCGTCCGTCTCCAGAACATGACCTCTCGACAGTTAGATCCTTGAAGTTACAGCGTTGGTAAGCAGACAGAGACTAGGGATCCCACCTTCAAAGTTCAACGGCACGCGTCATCCCGAAAAAGTTCCCCGAGACATTTAAGTTTACAAGTTCTGCAACGGTCCAATTTTTACCACCATAGCTTAAATTTTCTCAGTCAAACTTTTCTTGATGATTACAAACTCATTGTCTACCGAGTAATCAACCGGTCGGCAGCCTCGGAATATGCAAGTTTATATTAAAAGAACCCTAGCGGATTTGCAGCCCTGGATGTTAAAGGTCCGAATAGCTTCCTTGGCTTTATCTCCAAGCTTACAGATCCATAATTCGAGATAAGCTACAGCAAGGGCCGAGACCCCTATCACCAGCCATGCATGACCCTTCTTTTTACAGGATGATTATCAAATGCATGATGCTGATTGAAATTCAGGCACGCACGTGAATGTATGTATCCCACACCATGTTGTTGTGTTCACTGAGACGTCAAGATGAACTACGCCCGAATAGGTAGGTTGTTTGAAGCCTCTTGGAACCCATCGAAGCCGAGCTGAAGACGAGGCAACAGGCGATCAATGCGTGACATTCTGGTTCCATGACAGCGCCAGAAGCGGCAGCTCACAGTCAGCACGAGGCGCCATTAACCAGGGTAGACAATGCCTCACAGCGAGCATTCAATTGCCGCGGTGGTGAAGAGTTTTTCGCCACTGGGATCGTCATATCGATTCTCCAAAAACAAGAGTCAAAATGGAGATCGTCTTATTGAGCACATGACTTTGTCTAATCACAACGCTTGTCGCTCTGTTTTCAGTGGAGTTCAAAAATGGGCCGAGTTTCTCAACCTTCCCAGACCCAACGTCGATATCATCATGAGCATCAGTCTCCCCGTGGGGGGCGCCAGGGGCGTTGATAGCGCGTTTTTCTCGTCTCTTGCCCCCCCTTACAAAATGGTTTCAAGCCTAACTAACCGTTGGATCCATGGTCCGGTTTTTTGCATGAGTCGGTGTCTGGGGAAAATGCTTAACCAAGCTGGTGGTCTGCCTTTTTTTGCCCCATCGACTCTTTAATACTTCCCCATCTCTCTCTTCTTGATCTGGTTCCCGCTTCTCAATCGTTGTTGTTTTTTGCGGGGGACTCCATTCTGTTACCTCAGGAATACTACCGACGATGCATCATGAGGGATGATACCCCCAATATCATTGCTTCGGCCGCCATAACTCTTCCTCTTGCGACCTTGGCTCTTGTTGCTCGACTTGTTGCGAGGAAGATCACGAAAGCTGGATATGGCATTGACGACGCTTTGGCCGTTGTTGGTTGGGTATGTTAAACTCTTACGTGGATTTGAAGTGTTCTGACATGGCTCAAGTTGGGCTCATTGGCCTTGTTGACGAATGGAATGATATGGATCAAGGATGGACTGGGAAAGCCAATGGAGGTTGGACTTACAGACGACTTTACGTTTCACGATAAAAACCGACTGGCCTGGATACATATGTGGACGACGAGCTTCACTTACACCTTTGCCATCGCCTTCTCGAAATTCGCCATCCTCGCTTTTTACTGGCGTCTCTTCCAATTCTCCGATATCCGAATCCCCATCCAAGTCCTGTCATGCATCACAGTGGCATGGTTTCTGCTGCGACTCTTTATGGTGTGTTTGCAATGTCTACCACTCACAGCCTTATGGGATGGGGACCAAGCGACGAGGGACGCAAAATGCCATATCCGCGAATCGACGTTCTTCTTCTCGACGGTTTTGACGCACGTTTTGATCGATTGTGCCATTCTTATCCTGCCCGCCATTGAAGTTGGAAAACTTCATTTACCCAGGGGTCAGAAGGTTGCTGTCATTGCGTTGTTTGCGTTTGGTGCCATGACCTGTCTAGCCTCCATCTTTGTCCTAATTGAGTCATTCAAGTTCAAGTCGGACTCAAAAGAGATGACGCTACAAATGGGACAGCACTACGCTTGGTCAATCGCCGAGTGCAACTTTGCCGTAATTGCTGGTATGTCCATACCGAACACTGCCATTTTGTCCTGTACTGACTCTTCACAGCTTGTCTCCCCATGCTTCGACCAGTCGCCCGCAAGATCTTCCCAGGCTCATTCCTCACCTCCAACAGCGGCGGCCAATCCACCCAAATCAGCGCCCCCTTCAGCACACCATTCAGCAACGGCATTCGCCTTACCAGCGTATCCAAGACGCGATCGGGCGAAAACGACGGCGGAAGCTCAACACACGAACTATCCAACAACCCACCAGATCTATACGACATAGGCGAATGGCCACACGGGACACAAACCACGATATCAAGTCCCTTTAGAAAATATACATCTGCGAAGGACTATGAGAGCAGCGAGACGGGGATCCGTGTTGACGAAGAGACGGCTGTTGCTGTACAACGGCGTGATGATCGTGCATGAAACAGGGCGGCGACCCTCGGCGTTTTGGATATGATATCAGCGAGGCTGAGTTCTTTTTTCACCTTAGATACCACTGGATAAATACCAACTGAATCTTAATTGTCAAGCAAAACGTCCATTGTGTCGTATGCTGTGTCATCTGCGTGTCGCTTCATGCGCGGTCGAATTTGGGTTCTGTACCAGCACAGCGGTGTCGGCCCGCCAGCCTCAACCTTGTTAGCATTCCATTTGCACTCGCTTGCACGGAATTATCCAGGCTCCAGGCCATGGGCGCTGGGGAGTTAAATATCACGAGTTTGGATATTGATGCCTGAGGCACAACATGGCGTGGAGTCGTTGTGCCGAACATTGCCGCAGCTATTGCTCAGTTTGCTCCGCAAAGTACGGAGCCCATCGTCCAAAATGAGGAATTATGTGATTCGCAAACCCATTCTGACCGTGAGCTTTCGGCGTTGCAGTTGTTAAGCCGATGGAACGATTCAAGTTGACCGATTTT